TTATTATATCTTTAGCTAGAATATATAAGGAGTATTTAATATATCTATTAATAATAATTAAGATAATATTATATATATAGCTATTAATCTTATTCTTTAATAAGGGAAGCCTTATAGTAAAATTTATAAAGATACTTTATTATAGTCTTTTAATTATTAATAATAAAAATAATTATTTAGCTAGCTTAATTCTTAATATCTTTATAACTTAATATATATAATATATTTATATATACTCTTTAATATTATAATATAAGGTTAATTAATAGTACTTCTAGTTAATTAGTTTAAGTATTTTTTATACTTTTAGGTACTTTATAAAGAGATTATTATAATAAAGTTATAAAAGTTCTTATTTAATTACTAAATTAAAGGATATAATAATAAATTTATATTTATAAAGGAGGCCCTTATCTCTTATACTTTATCTCTTTTTATAAGTTACTTATATTATATTAAATACTTTAAGAGACTATAAAGTTAATTATATAAAAATATCCCCTTATTATAACTTTATAAAAAGCTACTTAAGGTTAATTATTAGTTTATTTAGAGAGTCTTTATAATTAGCTACTTCTTTAATTAATATTTTTAATATTAAAAGTTTTAGATATTTTAGTCTTTATATTTATATCCTCTAAAGAATATTTTTATCTCTTTATAAGTATATTTACTATAAATTAAGCTATAGCTTATATTATAGTATTAATAATATATTAATATCCTCTTCTTTAAAGGTTAACTTATAATCTTAATAATATAATAAGATATCTATTAGGTTTATCTTCTTTAGCTTATATTTAATATAGAAGTTATATAAAGCTAATAATTCTACTTAATATATTTAATATATAATTAATATCTTTATAATAAAGAAGTACCTTAAATTAATATAATTAATTTATATTTATATAAAATACTTAAAGTCTTTAAGATAGTAATATTACTAACCCTAGGATCCTGGTATATCACTAATCAGCTTAAATAAGATTAGTAACCTAGTCTTTTAGCTATACTATAGTCCTTTAGGTATACTTTATCTAGGTAGACTATAGTCCTTAACTATATTTAGTCCTTTAACTACTAAGTAGAGGTTAATTAAGTAAAAGAAAAGTAAGGTCCTTATCCCTATATATAGAAATAAGTTAGTAAGTCTATTTAAATTAACTAGTACTTAAGTAATTAATATTTTTAAGAATTATAAATAACTAAATATACTAGGAAATAAGTATCTTTATATAGTCTTTTATATTATAGCTAATTCTAAGATGACTATAATAAATCTATAACTCTATATAGCTATTATATCCTTTAGGTATATTAACTATAACCTGATTATATCCTATATAGCCTTTAGCTATAATAGATATAATAATTATATAACTCCTAAGTTAGCTTTATACTCCTACAACCTATGTTCAGAAGTTCCCTATTAATCATTCTGCCTGATGAGACCGCTAGGTGGCTAGTGTCGTAACACATAGGATGGCTGATTTTTTTTGACGGGGGCCATGCGGCTTGAGGGGGTGGGCGGCTCGGTTCCAAATTACGTTAGCCGCAGGGTATGCTTACTCAGGTTGGTTGTAGGGGCGGCATTAGTACGAGCCTTATAAGTATCTAAAGTATAGGATTTGCCTTATAGAAATGATATAATCATATTTATATAACACTAGAAGCTACATGTACATAGAAAATAGATATAAAGGTATTGAAAGATACTACTCAACAGGCTATAAGTAGATAATATCATGGATTCTATATTCGCGCAGATCTGTATGTGCCAGTGGATCAGACTGACGCAGGTACTTTTGAAGATCTGATCTGTAGAGCATGGAGGGTGGAGCACACACAGGTTAGATGCCCTAGCTGATGTGCAGAGGATCCACACTGCTGCATATATCTAATCCTGCTACTCCATAATTACCTGCTTAGAGGATGAAGCCTTGGTACATAAGTGTAAATCAACCATATTATTGGGTGGCTGACTGGGCCTAGACATAGTCCAGACTCAAGAATAACTCAGGAATATGCGGCATTTGGATGCGGCTAGAATGACGGGTAGAAAGCAGAGGCATACGAATGATGTATCTTGGACAGATCCTGTTCTATCTACCAAGTATTTAGATAATAATAGTATGCATGGGTTGTCCACTGCTATCAGCCAAGAGATCTCCATTACAGCTAATATCTCTATTAAGTCAATAACTGGTGATTAATAGTATATTCGATGCGTATTCAAATTACTGCGAGCATACTCGGTTTACTTAGTATACTATTGCTCTTAATGTGTTCTTCATAATATACCTTAATATTAGTACTATGTAGTAGACATGTGTCAGGAAGTATCATAGCGTGTTGCTCCTATAATACACATATTAGACATATCAGCTTTTTCTGAGTATCCTTGCCCGGAATCATCTCCCTTGCGTGCAAGAACAGTCTGTGGCTGGCTGAGGTATCAGACCTAGAGCATCATGCAATCCACGATGTGCTGTTGAGAAACGTCACCCTCGCAAGAGTGAGATATAAAATCCAGCTCCTTTCCAAGAACACTGCCTGACCACAACTAAGCCATTCTCATTCTCATTATCAACCATCGACCATTGATCTCACCATGAAGAAATCCGCCGTCTTCACTATCCTCCTGTCCCTGGCCTTTGCGCACGGCAAAGAAACCCCCCCTGATGAGGTCGCGAAACGATGCAGCGCAAATGGCGAGTACGCCGTGATGTATATGGGGCGATGGAATTGCCTGCGCTGTGCTGAGGTGCCATGTATGCTTGAGTTATCAAGAAGCCCATTTCTCCATCCGCGGCTGACAGATGATGACTAGATGTTGACCCTAAAACCGGCTATTCTGGATGCTGCGAGCTCGGCACCGCCTTTCTCACGGATAAGGCGCATCCCACCGAGGGTGCCTGTTGCACGGAGACCCAGATCTACTCCTACAATCCGAAGTCCGCGACCGGAGCCTGCTGCGCCGCGGACCAAGTGTTCACCGGAGACGCGTGTGTTGTTCCTGACCCTGCTCCTGATCCCGGTCCTACTCCCGGTCCTGCTCCGGCTCCGCGCTGTCCCACTTGCACGAAGGACTATGCGTGCGCCTGTGACGGCACTCTCGGAATCAAGTATGGGCATTGCTACACCATGACCGACGTGAACGGGCTCCATCTGAACCGTGAAATCTCTGGCACCTACCAGTCGGGAGGAGACATTGATAATCTCATCTTCAGAGTAAGTAAAGAACTGTAGAGCCTGTTTTGGATAGAGCTTGAGCCTTCCCATCCTAACAAGCCCATGTTTAGGTCTGCAAGTCCACCGACGACTGCTCCGGAAACCAAGGCCAGTTCGTCCCCGACGACGGCACCTGGTATCTGCAGGACCAGCTCGGCTCTCGCGGCGGGAAAGGGCCCGGCTGGTTCGGCAATATCTCCCCGCACATGGGCATTGTCGAGGCGAACAGAGCTGATCGGGCCGCCAAGTTCAAGGGCGAGGGTTTCTGCATGTTTGGCGACTGTGCAATTTGTCTCCGGCTGACAGACAGTGGACTGTCGGCGCCGTGCCCAATGGGGGCGATCTCCGACAAGGCGCATATCGGCCGGGCTAGTAACCCAAACAACTGCAAGGCGTACCGGTTCCAGGAGGTCAAGTGCGTCAAGGGTGTTTAGAAGATGGCCGCCCGCGAGAATCTAGTCCAGATCTACATGGTCGCTGCAAGTTCCTTTTGCAGCACGACAGGGTATAGGTCAAGGCTACTCATAAAATTGCGGGAGACCCCAAAGGCTGTATATCACTTATAATAGGGCTTAGCTTTGTTACACTACGTCAGCAATTAGCAAAGTCCTAAGGAGAAAGCATTATAGAGAGACACAGTAGACAAATAGAGTTCCTGCCTTGACTTTTCTGAGCTTGCAATTCCAGCAGCCAAGGGAAGAGCTTATATGTACTATATCCATACTAGATGAGATAGATTGGCTAGAAGAGTGAGCTGCACCAAGTTATTTATAGGGTTTAGTAGTATATAGTATAACAAAACAAATATTTAGATTTCTTAATATTAATAGTATAGTTAAATCTATAGTTAGTCTGATATTGTTCCCAATAAGATAAGAAGTGAATCTAAGTGAAAATTATAGAAATGCTTATCTATAGCAGCCTGCCCTATTATATGCGTCAATATATATATAGCTTCTCCATTATTATATAAAGTATTCATGATAATTAGCTTACTTTATTAACAGTTAGTTTTATAGGAGCATAAGGTGCTATTATAGAACCCCTCCCTACTATATTTATTACAGCAAACACTGATTTTGGGGGACACTGTTATACAGTCCCTCTTCTTAAAGGGGGAGGTTGTAAGCAGTAACCTCGCACTACTCAGGGTGAGATTAGGAGATGTTAGTATAACTAGATAACACTAAGATCTAGGGGTGTAAGGAATCTATAATAGGTCTAATAAGAGAATAAAATAAAGTACTTAAGTTTCTATTATCTATCTAGGGGGGGGGGGGGGGGGGTATATATCCTGATCCCTCAGCGGGGTACTTGACGGGTACCTAAAAGATAAATACTACTTTTGTATGCTTATTATTAACAAAGCTGAACTAGGTCTTAAGGGCCATTGAAACTCGAAAATATTCAAAGTTAAATATGAAATAATTGGTATAATAGTACTTTAGAATAGATTGAATAGCTACTTAAGACAATAGTATTCATTGCCCCAGGCAGGTGACTAACTAGCTACTAGCTACCTATAGGGTAAGCTTAATTAAAATAGTTATAGGGTTAGTCTTAGTGCTACTAGCCATATACTTATCCTCTAGCAAGTAGCTAATATTAGGTATTTGTTGAGTATCATACTTGAGAATAAGAATATAAAATTTTTATTAGATAGATAATAGAATCTTGAGTATTTTATCTTATTCTCTTAATGGACCTACTATAGTTATACCACGCGATTTTGCCCCTGGCCCCCCTAATAAATATTAGGGTTGAATCTACTTTACTATGGTTTATACATATTAAACCCTAATTAAACTATTTGGGGTTTAGAGTGTTACAGAAATCTAAATAAGGTGAGTATAAATAATCCATGCTAACTTAATTAAGGTTTCTATAATACCTTTAACCTATTACAACTCTACAGTAGAGTTTTAGGGTTTAGGTTTTAGGGTTTATTACCCTCTAGCAAGTAGCTAATATTAGGTATTAGTCTCTACTATTTTTAGGCCTCTAAGAAAAGGAAAACATTTGAATCCTCTTAAAGAACAAATCATCATACTTTAAAGCAAAGGAAAAAAGATAAAGGTTTAGGGAGTATATAAAATATAAGATTTGCGTTATAGAAACCCAGGTTCTCTGGGTCAGGTTTAGCCAGTCTCGGTTTAGTAAGTATATAAAATATGAGATCTGCTTCATAGACTTATATATAGAGTAGATTTAAATCCCATAGATATATCTCAAAATCATATCCATGCCCATCTATCAATCCCTGGCTGTATTAATGTAATTCACAGCCCAGTATCCTACTTGCTCAATTCCTCCAGAATCTCCGCCACTCTCTCTGGTTGGCTCAGAAACGCCGAGTGCGAGCCTTTGACCCGATATACTGATTCTGTGCCGAGAGCCTGCGCCATCTGCTCCTGCACCGCCGGGGGAAACGCATGGTCCTCTTCCGAGATAATAAATGCTGATGGAGTGGTGTGCCAGGGCTCATATGTGGCCGGCCCATTGAAGGAGGCAAGCGATGAATATGTAAGAACACTCAGCCATTTTGTCTGTTCCTCAGGTGGGATGTCGTGGAAGACGAGATCAGCGCCACCAACAGCATACACTCGATCATCCTATCCTCATTAAGATTGAGCTCTTTCTTACAGATCTTTAGTATTCTCTGGTGTCGTTTACCTCTACCCTCATACTCGGAGGGAATTCTCCACCAAACAGCTGCTTCATACTTGCTCCCTTCGGCGCAACAAACGCAGCCATATAGACAATACGCACGACGCCGCCCCTTTTCCCTTTTCCTTCATAGTCATTCTTCGTCAACCCCTCGGCTGCGCCCGAGGCGACCACGCCGCCATATGAGTGTGCGGCGAGTATGATCTCTTCTCCCTTCTCGTCGATGTACTTGAGCAGCTCGGCGCGGACAGCGGCAATGTCATCATCAAGCGTCGCAGTGGTTCCGCCAACAGATGGGAGCGCGATAGCAGATGAGGAAATGCCTTTAGCTGCGAGACAGAGGCGGACAGGGTCGAAGAGGCTAGGGGGGCACCAGGCCCCAGGCACGAAGAGGACGGAAGGCATTGCGTTTAGTGAAGGGGAGATGATTGAGGATGGAACATGAGGTGGTTTAAATAGTAACTAGTCCTAGACAGCCGTACTACCGAGTAGACTGGTGAGACGACGTCATATCTGAAATATAAATATCTTTATGCAACTAGTGGTTGGTTTAATAGGGTAGTCATATAAAACCTAATAAATGAGAGCATTAAGCTAAATGTTAGTAAGTGAGTCATATTCTTACTAATTAACTAATAACACTAGTGCTTACACACTAAGCTAAAAAGATTATGCACTAATGCTTGATTAAATCTTAGCAGCTCTACCACCTGATATAGTTACTTAGTATAAATAAATAATAGCATAGACATGTCCAACACTGCTACATAGACTGGGAAATATATCAGAGATCAACTAGTTAACTTTATACCCTATATATTAGAGTATAGATTCTTAAATAGTTATACTAAGCATGTTAATTACTTGAATTAACTAAGACATATACTAGATATTAATGAACAAATATCTTTCTTGTTATACTCATGAATAATGAATAAATGACTCTTTAGAGAGGAATCTCAATATTTTTAGAGGTGATTATGGTTAATCCTAATGCTTTTATAGATAATGTTGGTCATTTTGGGTATTTTTGTTACGTCCCCTAGACCTGATCTGTATAAATATATAGATAGTAGAGGGAGATGCAACCTTAACAATATATATTATACTGCTCACTTAGTTTCCTAGTGGATACTCAATAGTAACCTTGACCTTGACCCTTAACTAAGAAGTACAGGCACCATCAACACACTGCAGCCCCCCATCAGAAGGCACCGGGCAGTTCTCTCCCTTGGCCCAATAGTATTCAGTGTAGTCACCGACTACAACTTCCTCGCAGACAGCCTATGCTTTCAGTATTGGATTTGGTAAGAAAGGGACATGGAACAGAACATACTATGTAGCCCTCGTTACACACACATTCGGTGTCCAGAGTACTATCGCAGGAGTCTCCGACTGTGGCACAGGCGAGGGTCTGGGTGGCCAGGAGGCTGAGGGTGAGAGCAATAATGCCAAGCTTCATAATGAATCTGCGTCTTGTATGCAAGTAATGAAATTGATAGCTTAAGATATGTAGTTCAGATGTGTTGTAGCTTGTAGCTATTCCAGCAGACGAAGCATGCTTTTTATACTACTTTCTATTCATACAAGTATTCTATTGCGACCAGGGACGGGCGAATGTCGGATTCACTGGCAATTCCTACTAGGATCAATCTGTCATACATGTCGAAGTTCGTGTAAAGCTAGCCGACAAACATTGTATTAATGTAACCATGTCTTAGATGAATCATAATATATAAGCTTACTACTGCAGAGATCATGAAGTAATCTGTTAGTACTATACTCTAATAAGGATAGTATTATTCTTATCTAGTGTAGTTTATTATAATACTATGACTATTACTGGACCAGTGAAGAGTCATATATTATCATGTGAAGATTCCTTACCCCACATAAATGAAACAGCACAAATAGCAGGAGTAGGGTAGTAAGTAATAGTTAACTAACATAAGTAGGTTAGAAGTATACATAATAAAGACTAATCCATCTTAGGTAGATATTTACCCACATATTCATGACAAATGTCTCGGCCACATTAGATAGGCTTCAGGCTTGACTCGATCCAGGGCGTAGCAGAAATAAGATCGATGTTGAATGGCAGATGCTGGTTGATCTAAGCAGGCACTATTGATATCCTAAACATCATTACTCTTACAAAAGGGCCCAAGCCCGTCTAATAAGAGGACCATGCAGTGTAACCTCAATTCAAGGGTGGACCTGGGCACTGAGTATTATATACTTCTTGAGCAGGTTTAGGGTTTAGTTCGCCTTCTCTATCCTTCTGGACGAGGGGGTTCAGGTGCTTTTGGTCAGGGTTTCTAGTTGTATGAAATGTATCGATTATTATAAATCTTCAAGATGGTCTCAATCACTCTATCATATAGGCGCCATCGAATCACAGTCCATAATAATGTATATTACTGGGTATGGATACTACTCCACCATCTTGACTATTTCTTTATATACTTCTGTTCACCTATAAATAACCTAGGTTCTACTTAATGTGTACTATTTATTCTATCTATCTAAATACTGTTTAGGGTTAGGCCTAGGGTTTTATTTCAGTATTAATCTCAAATTTTTAGTAGTCCCTAGGGGCTGTAGAGCAAAGACAGAACCTGTCCATATCCTTTAGCACTTATAAATTTACTAATTACAGTCTAATTCAAAACGGGAAACAGTTGGTGGCGCAGCTTCAGTACGCGGAGCTCGATGGGCTCTTCATCCTCTCGCCAGTAAAACTTGATGACCGTGTCTGGTTCCCTGATAGTTGATATGAAAGCTGTATAACAGGTTGCTCAGAGCCTGACTATGTAGTCTGCCGTTGCGATCAGCTCCACTCGAAGGTGGAACATGTTGCGCTGGTGAAATGTGATGTAGCCAGCACGCAATACAAAACTGTCAAACCCAGCTTCCTCATCACTCATCAAGTTGGAGCCGGCCAACACACGCAGCAGCAGGTCAGGTCTCTGCGCCAAATCAAGCCTCTCGCTGCTGTAGGCCCCCGAGCGTTCAAAAACCCAGAGTTCCAGCGTGGCGCCGCGGACCAGGAGCCCGTGTACAAAGTATCGAGCCGACTGGGCCTTGAACACCTGCTGTGCTCGCTCGCAGAAGCGCGGAATGTCGTCCTCGTCGTAGGCGTTACCACTAGCCATGATGGGGGCGTTTTCGTGATTGAATACGCCAAACACTCAGGTGCTGCCTACCACGGACTGGAGATCGCATGTCTCGAGGTAGATGATGGCCCAAGGTGTGCTACTCGCCATGTTGCTGAGCGTTTGACTGCGGTAGTAGAAGTTGGTATAATTAATTCAAGAACAAGGTCTGGAATTTGTTAAGCTAATGAACCAGTGTACTAAAGTGATCAACGTTGCGGGAAATATTGCCTTTCAACTCGTCTCGAGATTAAAGAACGGCCTCGGTTGGCGTGTGAGGAGGGGGTACAGAGGACATGGCAGTGAATATATGTGCTATCCAGAAGACTTATCAGTGGGAATAGCTAGCATGGGTAACCTTTACAGTCTGAAAGACCTTGGAGGGAATTGGAGAAGAGACTTGGTGTCAATTTTGAACATAGGGGCATGGACGTAGTCTGAACTTGGAATGAAAGCAAAGAGAACTTAGGTCGAGACAGTTATAAATAGAATATTATATTAGGGTGTTATACTATCTATATTAGTAAGTCTGTCAATACAACACAGCCTAGTTTCCATCAATGCTAATTATAGTTAATTAAGGAATAAGTTCTTTATAAGAACACTATCCTTAGCGTGCACTGTTTAGTAAAATCACCACCAGGATTTCTAGTTCTTGTCATGAGATTATAAATGTATAGCTAGTTGAGAAACACCTTGTTATTATAAGGATAATATACCTAGAACATATAATTTCTTCTCTTACTGTCATCAACCCACTAGTCTGCCTCAGGCAGCAAGGCAGGGTCGCCGTGGTTGTTTTGGCATCGTGGAGTCAGATTGGGCCAAATAGGGATGTTGTCATTCACTCTCAGCTTGTCATTCCTCTTCAGGATCAGTCCATATTTAATCTGAGCATTATAATACCTTTTTATCCACCTTTCTTCTAATTATAGAGCCAAGTATCTAATCAAGCATCCACTAAAGTATTTGCTGATTCTTAGTTTAATCCCTATATTGACTCCTATGTTAATTCCTACATTGAATCCCAGATTATTCCTATATGAATCCCTACGTCTATTCCTAGGTAATTACTAGGTGATAGGTGATCCCTGTAGCACTTTCTATATCAATTTCTAGGTGATGTCTGATTATTCTTTGTCTAACTTCCTGGACTAGTATAGTAATATAAATGTATTGCCATAGGTCCATAGTAGTTTATTTATAGAGCTCTACTTATAACATCTTAATCAAAATAATAACAATGATTATAGGCCCCTATTTGAGCCCTCTTATGTGGTGAGGATATCAGGGTCCTCATATATAGGTTTATATCAGAAAGTTGTTATTTCTCGGGGACTGTAGCTATATTTAGTAATAAGCTTCTCTCAACAAATAAGGTCTAATCTGGAATTGGATTGCTTTTTCTTGCTAGTTATTTCCGACCTATACAGCCGCAATACTCTCTTGAGGAACCTTTTCAACAATAGCCTCCACAGCCTGGTTGAATTCCTGCTTTCCATCCAGCACAGCTGCCACCTCTTCCAGCGAGAGCCCCTTGGTCTCCGGGAAGGTAAAGTAAATGATGACCACAAGCAAGGCAATAAATACTGTCTGGATGATATAATATCGCCATGTGATATTCTCCAGCCCGATGGGGTTCAGATAACTAATGACGAACGAAGACGCAGAGATGCTGAAGCTGGTGAAAGAGTAAAACACACCCCGCTGCTTCGTGGTGACCAGCTCCAGCGGATAGGTCACCACCATGGGCAGCCAGCACAGAGAATAGAAGGCTTCATACACAAACAGCATGACTACAACGCCGAGGCCCATTCCCCGAGCCCCTGTCATGACGTACTGCGCCGAGAGGGCCGTCCAGACGATGAAAGAGGCCAGCATGCCCGTGGTAGAGAAGAGAAACAACGTCCGGCGACGGAGACGAGGCGCCAACAGTGCGCCCACGATGCTGACGAGCCAGCAGAAGATATAGATAATTCCGTTGATGAGCGTTTTCTGCTTGGAGGACGAGTACCCGACCTGCTCGAGCACTTCCGGCAGATACGTTGAGATCAGGCTTGAGCCGGCGCACTGGGAGCCCACTCCGGTCACAAAGGAAACCCATAGTCGGCGCTGATTCGCACGACTGCCTAACAGGGCTTTGATGCTGGCAACATTCCATTCCATCTGTGATCGGTCGACCTCCACGCCCGCAAGAATCTCCGCGAATTCGGCCCTGACGGTGTCGGTCTCGACTCCGCCACCATGGTACTTGATGAGAATATCGCGGGCTTCCTCGTGTCGGCCGCGGAGGACGAGCCAGCGGGGAGATTCAGGGCAGAGGAAGATTGTGAGGAGCTGATAGACGGGAAGGCCGATCTGCACGAGGACCGGGATCCGCCACGACCAATTGTTGGAGATGCTGTACGTGCCAAAGGCAGTCCACGACCCGATAATGAGTCCGATATAGATGCTCGTGTTGTAGAGCGAAGTCAGAGCCTCACGATGAGCCGGGTGCGCCAGTTCGGTGACAAGAATTGGCCCCCCGATCTGCTGCAACACGGCGCCGAAACCCAGCAGCAGCTTACCCGCCACGAAGACGTGGAATGTGCTGGCGAAGAACTCCATCACCGTCATCCCAATCACAATCGCTGACCCGAGGAAGCATGCCATGCGTCGACCCCATCGGCCGACGATGGTGCTCGACACAAAAAGAGCGCACAGTCCGCCGACCGACACCGAGGCGCCGTAGAACCCGAGCGTGGCTCCGATCGGGTTGCCGAAATGATTCATGAACACATCCACAGACTGCAGACTGTTCGTCAGACTCAGATCGAAGCCCCATGAGGCCGAGGTGATCAGCGGGGCGAGCAGGAGGAGGTACAGTTTGACAAGGTTGCCTTGCATGGTGATGATAAGGGGGACGGACAGTGAAAGATGGTGATAGACAAAGTAAGAAGTAATTGAAGAAACAAATAGCACAAAGCAAGGCAATGCTGTTAAATAGGTTGTATACTCGAGATGGACTGTTCGCTGCTCGGGGTATATATGCCGGGATCACCGAGATCCCCGGATTTCCCCAGACTGGGGTTTTCTGAGAATTTACCCGCGGCAGAATCCTTCACCCCGCTTCCCCCGCCAACTCGTCGACGGCTTTCGAGTTCAACTCTGCAAGGATGTGGATGAAGGTGTCGAGCTGGGTTCTGGCGCGGCTGATCAGCGCGGCGTCTTCGTCGTGGTTGATCACTTCGAGGAGCGCAGCGCCCGCGATACGTAGTTTTTCGACCTACCGAGTGATTAGTATACAGAGGCGAGATAGAAAACGGGAAACGCCTACACAGGACTCTCCATTGACCTTCAGACTGTCGATAGAAACCCACCGAATGATCTGGAGCATCTCTCTCGCCAGCTCGATCTTCTTCAAACAGACCGCGGCGTGGCTCCAGGTCGGACAGGCATGGTCCCGATAGAGAGCCTCGAGAGCATAGAGGCATTTGATCCGCAGGCACTGGAAGGAAATGTGCAGGTTTGCACATTGAATGGCGAGCCGCGGCGGGAGCGGCACGGTCTCGAAGATGGCCGGCGGGTGGAGGGCCCTCGGGGCAGAGTCCAGACATGTCTCAAAGCTCAGGTAGAGGGCTCGGATGTGAGCTTCGTCGAGGGATGTCTCTCGCCGCTGGAGATGGAGGGAGCGAATCTCGCGCAGCAGTTGATCTGCCGTTCGCCAGAGACGCGTGTTCAGATTGAAGCCGACAAGAGGTGACACGCCCGTCCCAGGGTGGTCAAACGCTTCTTCATCGGGGAAAAGGGTATTGATCTCGTCGCTGGCGTCCACCCGGAAGGACGCCGGCCGGCGCATGAGACAGGAGGCTGACCGGTCGGCAGTGAACAGGATCCAGAACACGCGCCGACGCAGTTCTCTGGCCCAGGGGTCTGGCTCCAGCGTCGCCGGCTCCCTATGGAGATCCAGGACGTCTGCCATCCGGATCGCCTCGCCGAGCACGATCCAGCTCGTGCTCGCCTTGCCCTGGTGGTGCAGGTAGCCGGACTGGTAGTACCGGGCGACAATTGAATCGACAGTGGGATGCTCCAGATCACGGTCTCCTAGACGGGCCAGCGCCTGTCGGGAGGCCTGGTAGAAGGCTGCCGCCCAGTGTGGCTCGCTCTCCGTCACTTCTCGGGGTAACACAATGAGGGTTTTGGCGCATAGGGCCGCGATCTGAGCCAGCTCGACCAGATGGCGGTGGTGATGCGCCTGGCGTGGATCTCGTAGTCGCTGGTACATCTCCCGGCAGGTCTGGGGTAGCGCAGTGGGATGGACCAGGGGTTCAAGCGGGTATAACTTGTCCAGAAAGACGGCAGAGCAGTGGAGGAGGATTCGTTGCAGGCCATCTACTTCCACACCGAGCTGGTGTTGCAGTTCTGTTGTAATAGTCACCATGCCGGTCTCCTCTCGGGGGGAACCCATTACGACATCCTCGACCGCACTCTCATTTTGACTGTAATTGGAGAGACTATCTGGAGAGGGAGCCAAAGCAGTGGGTGAGGCAGGCGTATCATTCAAAGGCACACAGTGTCTCGGGCGAGGACCACGTTTTCGCACCGGCGCAGTAAAGGTACAGTCCAGCTGGGCAGCGACACAGCTGGAACAGGGGCTCATCAGATCACACTGATCATCAGCAGGAGCCCTAGGAAAGCAATGGAAATCATAATACTATTACCTTTACCTTTCGGACCCGGCAGCTGTCGCACGCTCGTCTCGACCGAGGACCATGGATCGAGCTGCGTAACAGGCGTTTAATCCCCTGCTCGGGGGTCCACCGTCGACGGCCGTCCATAGATTGTGTCTGCTGTCAAGGTCTTGATATGTACGAACAGGGATGACAGGACGACCCCCTCATGAACCGCCTCATGAATGGGGAAAAGTGGGGGTTGAAGGACGGGATGAAGGCCGATGCCGAGAGCCGAGCATATAATTAAGACAGAAAGGGTTAGGCTAGGTTATAAGCTGGATTAGGGTTAGGGTTAGGGTTAACAATGTGGGAGGTGCTCTGCGTTGAATACTAGCAACCTAGGTTAGGGTTAAGCACACCTTATTATCCAGTCAGGCATTAACAGCACTCTCTAGTGGATGTTGACACTATTTTCAGGCTGATTCCAATTATGCTAAATTATATGTAACTAGGACAGAGTGAAGGACCAGAGAAAGGAATGTTCCGATTTTATGAAGACAAAGGATTAGGGTTAGGGTTAGGGTTAATCTTGCGGGAGGTGTTCTGCGTTGGCAACCCAGGTTAGGGTTAACCTTGTTCCATTCCTGATAAGGCCTTTGTATTATTAGTAGATCGTTGAAGTTTCATGTCCCGACTACTTTAATTTGCGAATATATATTTAATAAGTGTAGTATAGAAAATAATGTTTTGGCTTTTTTAGGACTCCCATGGCAGCTTCCACCATGATTCTATTCTATACAGAGCAGGATAAAAACAGTCGTTATTAGTAGACTGGCAAACACCCATCTTACTTTGCTTTCCGGATCTTGACGAGGTCCTGAGCATTGCCAGGTAAATCCAGCGTGATTTCTAGACGTCAGAAGCTTCCAACACACCAGAGAAGAGAGACGAACCAAAAGAATTCCCAGAGCCAATGGCCTCTTGGACGACATGATAGACCTGTCCCCCGCCAACACGGGCAATTTGGACCTCGTAGCTCGTCGTCGCATCCCAAGGAAGATTGGTGATGTTGAGCTGATAGCCCTGAGACGTATTGTTCCGGACGGTTGCTTCCAGGAACGTTTGACACACTAACTGGTTAGTCTTGCATTCCTGAAATGGTCAAAGAAGAAGAATACCGGGTATTACGGCTGCTGTTCCTGGTAGTAGACATGCCTGTTCGCCATTGAGAACTAGCTGGTCAGCATATATCTTCATGTGGAAATAAAAGAAAAATCCATACGGCCGTTGGATTGAATGATCGGATCGGCAGTGGTGGACGTATTCAGTTCCGGGGCCTATAGTCAGGTCAGCTACATAACCAACGCTCAATCTTTGTCTCCTGCCAACTCATTTCCTACCATCACGGCGGCGATTTGTCGCGGAATATCATAATCCAGCTGGTAATTATTGAGGAGAACCTGCACCTCGTCCGCTGTCGCCGACCGACCAGCCAACACGGCAAACCCATCGGGCGAGCTGCCACGAACCTCCAGTCGCGAGCTGGCATTCACGACCAGATCCGCCTGCAGACGCCACGCAGCCGCAGCGTTCAAGGGGACAGGCTCGCCATCCGTCTCATTGAACCAGGCAGGGAAGCTGGCGTTTCCGGCGCCGTAACCGCCATACCCGAACCCTGTCCAGGGCAGAGCCTGTTCCAGCCCGTCGGCGTCCTGCGCATACATGGACACCGCGAGATTAAAGCTCGCGAACCAGGCCGGGTCGTTGTAACTTGCCAGGGCAGAAGCAGAGGTCGGCAGGGCACCCCCCGGGTTTCCATCGAATTCTGTCACCCATACAGGCAGGGAGGACAGGCCCGCGGGGACCAGCACATTGCGCCGGAAGGCATCCGTCAGTCGTTTGATGTCGTATGGATCGAACGAGTATTGCGCGTTGGTGAAGTGGTATGTCGCTGCCTTGATGGGGACCTTCTGCTCTGCACAATCCTGATAGAACTGCGTGATGAACGGGTCCGTGAGGGTGTAGTTTGTTTGAGGCGTCCAGATACGGTTGCTGCCCCAGGCACCGACGCCCAGTGAGGAATTCGCCCGCGCAACGCCGCGTGCAAAGCCGGCGAAATATGCAAATGAGGTCTCATAATCTGCATTCCGTGCCGCGTAGAGATCCTCCTCCGGGTAAAAGTCGATCAGGTCCAGGGCGTTGTGGAAGCCGGCGCCGTGCGCGCCGTTCATGTACCGGTCCGCGATCATGAAGCCGATGTCGCCAAGCAGCGCCGCGGAGGAGAGCGTCGCATTCATCCCGGCGTCTGGGTTGAACTGGACGGACGCCACGGCGCCATGGTCCAGGATGAAGCGCACCGTCGCGTCGGCGTCGGTCCAGTTGTAGTTCTCGGGGCGCGTTGCGTCGCCCGCCGTACCGGAGAGACCCCAGCCCAGGAATACATCAGGCCAGGTGTATATCATCACATGTTGGATGCCGTGGCTGGGCCACAGTCTCGCCAGCGGTTCTTGCAGATCATGCAGGGGAATTGGTAGGGCGGCGGTGGCAGCTCCGACTGGTCAGCATAGGGAGCATACTCCTTGTATACGGGGATATCTCACTGGTGTTGCAGCCGTTGGAGCCCTGGAGATTCCTCAGGGGGCCTATCACCTTGCTGGCGTCGACAGTGACGCTACGAATCTCGGCGGCGGACGCCAAAGCACTGAATAAAAGGAGGGCGCGCATCTTGGTGTATTGTTCTTCTAAATGGTCTACTCGTCGGCTAATGATCTTATTTATACCACTTTCTATACTCCTGCAATCGGGAAATCCGAGCTGCCCAGACTCCATAATGTGACACATGGCCAATCGTGGAGAAGCCTTCCCCGGACCCCACGTTTTTCTATTTTGCCGCGGCTAATCCCCGCCCTTATCTTCCCCGAGCTATACTGTAGCTTCACTCTATTAAATCTTTCCACACCGCCGAATGCACCCATTCCTGCTTAAACTACCTTCTAAACCATGGAGAAGCCCTGGGAATCGCGCGCCAGATGGATCTGGCTGCCTGGGTTCGACGACACACGAAACCCCGGCGCTGTGGTTCTCTTCCGCAAGACCTTCTGCTTGACGACGGTGCCCTCTCGCTTCGTCATCCGAGTGACGGCCGATTCGCGATATAAACTGCGTCTCAATAATCAGCTCATCAGTCTCGGGCCATGCAAAGGGACAGTCGACCACTGGTACTTTGAGAGGGTGGATGTCGCGGATGTGTTACAAGCTGGCGTCAATGTTCTCGCTGCAGAGGTGCTGCGGTATTCCCCGCAACACAGGGGTAATATCTCCATGTCGCGAAGCTATACGCCTGGCTTCTTACTGTTGGGAGAGGAAGAGCCGATAGAGGGAGAAGAAACCAACAGGATCGTGGTTGCCTCAGATCTGACCTGGCGCTGTGTGGAAGACAAGTCTATCCAGTTCATCAACTCCCCCCTTGACCATTTCCTGTCCATCAACGAGACTGTAGATGGGACAAAGAGACATTTTGGATGGGAGGACGTCTCCTTTGATGATTCGGCTTGGTCCATGCCTGTTGAGCTGGTGAACGCTGCGCCTACCGATGAACTGACGACCTTGCCGTGGAATCTGAACCCCCGGGAGATCCCCCTGTTAACCTCTATTCCGGGATATTTCAAGTCTTTAGTAGTCAAGAATGGGGAAAGTCGTCTACAGCCCGATATCCGGTTGAGTGATACAGAACTTGCCCCCTGGAATGACCTTCTCCAAGACTCCAAGCCTCTGACAATCCCTTCCGGGTCTCACATTGTGGTTGACCTGGCCGCACCAGAGTATAGCACCGGCTACATCCAGCTCCAAGTCTCTGGCGGTGCGGGCGCTACGATCCGTCTTTTATGCGCCGAGTCGTATGAACGCGCTGCCAGACCATCACCAGACGTCTATCTGAAAGGCGACCGCACTGATTTCATGAATGGAGTCCTGAACGGTATCTGGGACTGTTATCTTGTTGCCGGAAAGACTGAGACTGAGACGTATCAGACATGGTGGCGGCGGTCGTTCCGCTTCGTTCGATTGGAGATAATCACCACCAGCAATGATGTCTTGCATCTGCACCAAGTGAGCTACACCGAATCAACATATCCGCTGGAGGTACGGTCAACGTTTGAATCTAGTGTCCCCCGTTATGAAAACTTCTGGACGACGAGTCTTCGCACATTGAAGAATTGTATGCATGAAACCTACGAAGACTGTCCATTCTACGAACAGACACAGTTCCCATTTGACACCCGCAGCCAGATCCTGTTCACATATCTTGTTTCTGGCGACGACCGGCTCGCTCGCAAGGCTATCCACGATCTACATTGCAGCCTCCGTCCGGATGGGCTGATTGCAATGAGGTCCCCTGCCCACATGAACCATTCTCTTCCTGTGTTTTCGTTGTCCTTTATCCACATGATATCTGATCATGTCTTGTTCTTCGGTGATCAAGAACTCGCCCGTCGCTATCTGCCCACTTGTCTTGCTATTCTGGGCTACTACGACCGTCTTGTTCGCTGGGAGAGTGACGGCCTGGTTGGGCCCTTTGATGCCCGTGCATGGAGCTATGTTGACTGGGTCAAGGAGTGGACATTTGGAACACCTCCTGCCGCAAGAACCGGGCCAGCCACATATTTCAGTCTGGTGTATGCCCTGGCATTGGGACAAATGGCGGAGATTGCTGACTTTCTCAATCAGAAGGAGCTGGCAAGAGACTGCATTGAAAGAAGAGAAGCACTTCTCTCCAGTGTCAATACCCACTGCCTCAATGAAACAAGAACATTCTACCTTGATGGGCCAGGCTCGCGGGAGATCAGCCAGCATTGCCAGGTCTACGCCGTCCTTGCAGGTGCTATCAAGGGACCAGCCGCTCAGAGCCTGCTCCGCAGAACATTGAGCACTGCCATGCCTCAAATGTCCTACGCCCAAGCCTTATACCTCTTCCGAGCCCTCCATAAAGTAGATCTTTATTCTCATACCATTAGCCTATGGTCTGCATGGGACGAAATGCTCAGTCAAGGATTGGATACATGGGCGGAAATGCCTTTCGATCCACGGAGTGACTGTCATGCATGGAGTGCAGGTATCTAATCTCGGAAACACGATTCAACTTAAATATGCTAATATATAATAGTGCCGCTGTCAGAGCTACCCTGCGGTATACTGGGAATCCAGCCCACCGCACCAGCTTGTGCAAGTATTGAGATCCGTCCAATGTTGAGCATGGTGGCATCAGCCAAGGGAGGGATAGTCACGCCACGAGGGGTCCTGATGGTGCAGTGGTCGCGGGGTAACAATAGCTTCAAGCTACGTGTTGATGTTCCGTCTGAGACAAAAGTCGACATCTTCCTGCCTTCGGGTCAGAAGACGTATCAGGATGAAAGTGTTATAGAGGTTGATGTTGATCTATAAGTATACTAAGTCGCTATAGGAGGAAGCTAGTGATTGAACCTAACTTGGATAAGCTTTTTATATAAATAGAGAAGCCTAGGGTATAAAGGGTTCATCTGGGACTTCTATCCGACTTCCCCATGTAGAATGAGATTAGAGCATACTTCTTAAACCTTTTGATGCGTGACTATCAATAATATCAAGCCTTTTACTTTCTATATACTATGTAGAAGTAGACAGAAGTTCCATTTACTAAGTAATACCATCATAGGTTACACATAAGATCATATTTCCTGTATTTCACTATGTACAATTGAAAGGTATCATGCTCAGGGAGCTGACATTGGCTGGTAACAAGGAGGCAAATGGATACTGGTCTCAGAGATGTTGAAGCCATCAATTTGCTAATTAGGTAGAGAATGAGACACGTTCACCAGCCAAATCCTACCAAACGGCGTTAAATTACTACACCCTCGGTTGACGGCGGCCAACTTACGCTATGCCAGTCCCAATATCTGGGACCTGGTGAGGTTGAGATATTGATGGAATCCTTAGTTAACTTGTGCAGAAATTCATTACCTATAGGTTGAGTTTTAGGTGCCAGTAATCAAGGCTATTAGGATTAAATGAAAGGTGGTAATACCATCAAGAGTATTATATAGAATCATGAGCTAGTTTATTATATACTGAACGCTGGCTTTGGCATTTCTCTTAGAGATGTAGCTAGAGAAGTTATGAACATTTAAAGATATAGAGATAAATCAGGAGGCTTCTTCTTCCATGGAGTACTAGATATTGAATTATTCCCTTTAGGGACATGGGGCTGAGCATTTTCCATCGCCCCAAGTCTGCGCTACACTATGGAGTAGGTGACTAGTGGGTCTATGTACCCACCAACGTCATGGCGCAGCACCCAAAAGAGGCAGTTGAGATGCTGGACATGTATCCCCTCTCTACTATATAAAGAAAATAGAATTATTTTAAGAAAGTTGTATTGCGCTGTCAGAAACACAAACAATAGAAAAACTACACCTTTTCAATCCTCCCCCTACTGCTACTTTATTTTCATCAGGATTCAAGAATACAACACGATGGAACTTCCAGAGGATTACACCCGCCCTCGGGATGATCGATACCAAAATTACCAGCAGTCGACTCCATACGATTACCAGAACTATCCTCAACAACAGAATTACCCTCCTCCTGGGCCTAATGGTCAATACCAGAATTACCCTCAGCAATATCCGCCACAACAGTATCAGCAATATCCTCAGCAATATCAGAAACCGTCTTACCCCCTCAGACCATGCGTCATACCCCGTAAGGCACCTTTGATCTCTAAAGAATTCTAGCGCTAAGAGTGTCAGAAATCCCCAATGGCCCCAGTTTCGTACGCACCCGTGTCCCCGAGCTGGAAGCAGTCGCGCGTCTCCCTCCATCCGAACTGTTGGGATTCATTGATGGGCTAAACCGTATCTTGAATCCCCCCGCCCCTGCTAATAACGGAGGGTTCCGTGGGTTTGTGCAGAGTGCGGCCATCCAGCTTGTGAACAGTAAGATGGATGTGGTTTCAAATGGGAGGGTCCAGGAGTATATGGCGAGTGTGAATGGGGACATCTTTATGCAGAGAGGTCTGAAGGCACACATCTGCAGTACGGAAGAGCTGGTATCCCGGTTGGGAATGGGTGAATACGGTCTCCCTATGGGTACAATGTCACCGTATGATGTTATGGGAGCTTTCGGAGATAGAGTGATGGAATTGTCGCCCGAGAGCGGGAATAACACTGGTGCATCAGACAATTGGATGGCAAAACTCGGGGCGATATCATCGGGACGGAAGGACAAGAAGATAAGGGAGGCAGAGGCTGAAATGGAACAGATTCAGTCTCAGATGCAGGCCCTCTCATATCAGATCCAAGAGATCGGTATGCGACAGCCTAAAGACTGGAAGAAAACAAAAAGGGATCTGGAGAAAGATTACAAGGATCTGGAGAAGGATCTAAGAGATGCTGAGAAGAAGTACAGAGAAGAGATGGAAAAGCATGGGGATAAGAGCAGTGGGCACACAGTAAACAGTCACTATTGGATTGTTATTGTGCAAATGGCTTAGTATGTAGTTTAGTAATCAACTACATATTCTTTATAAAAGACCTTTACTAGTTTGCTCAGTGTATAAGATAATACTGAATATACTATACAAGAGATATATTATTCGACCTTCTAAAGAGACATACTAATGAATCTCCTCAAGAGAGCGGCCTTGTATTCGGTATCCTACTACAATAAGCTTATATTATTTTTCAATTAGTTGGGCTCTGCTGCATAATTCTATAAGTAGTCTTTATAACACCGCTGACGGTGCCCTCAATATCCAGGATTGGCACCCTGGATCCTTAAGGAGCCAAAGGATCTCCTCTCCACTTTGTACAATTCGAATCAGGTTGCGATCGGCATCCTATCCCAAGGTGAGGGAGGTAGCAAATATCAAGTTCCTGGTCTTCTAATTATTTAAGTTTTTACTGTGCTCTATATCGACATGGCACTTTGACTGATCTAGTAATTATTAGGGGATGGAGCAATTTTCTTCTTCAGCCGCTGGGGTAACGTGAGGAAGGCGGAGGCGTCGAGGAATTCCATTTCTGATGTTCTGCTATTTACATGCCTCTATCTAGTGGAAGAGATGGTGTCTTGCAAGTGGCATCTCAAGCAGAAGTTGTCGAACAGTCTTGATGAACTCTCTCTTGGCCAAACTCAGGCTAACCCTAGACCGTAATTTCATGATAAAATCGCATGTAGCCAATAGCTATATCTATATTGATTCAGCTACTGTGAAGCCACGTGTACAGCTTATTTAACTGTACAACACCTTATCATCTCACAGGTCTCCTCTGCCTCCTTATATACCACGCCCACCATCCCCGCTGCCTGAGCTGCACTGACATTCTCCTCCTTATCGTCAATGAACACGACATGCTGCGGCAGACACTATATCTGCTGTATCACATACTCGTAGAAGGCTGCGTCGGGTTTCCGCAGCCCAATGTCACCCGAGGCAAAGCAGCGGTCAAAGAGGGAAAACACGCCTTCGCGGCCTGTCTGCAACTGCTGAAAGTCGTACTGTGAAATATTCGACATGGCGTATACCTTCAAGCGGTATTCGCGTTTCATCTCGCGGACGCGGTTGAGAAAATCTGTGTTGGCTTGCAACGACCGCCGCCCATCTGCAAAGGTGGCCGGTAGCACTATACCTGCTGTAGACAATATATCATACCATATACTCATGTCGGCAGTATACTAGACACTCTTGTTCAAGCACACCCACAGCGGCCCCTTCTCCCACACGATATAGCTCTTGCAGTCGTCCCAGCTGGCCGACTGTGGTTGCAGCTCGACATCAAAGTTCCACAAGATCTTGGCGAGGATGGTTCGCATCTCGGCGTATGCGAGACTGTCCGTTAGACATACCATATCCTGTCAGAGCGTGCCGATCAGAAACTTACTTCCTCCCAATACAAGCCCGTGGCCCGTACGAAAACGGCTGCAGCGCTTCTCTCCGGTCACCGCTGAACCGTCCCTTGTGCTCCAGCCAGCGCTCGGGGCGAAAGGAGTCTGGCTCGATGAAGTTGGACGCCGCGCGAAAGGCGGAATAGTGCGCAACGGAGACAGAGATCTAACTGTCAGCAATATCTAGGGTTCAAGGGGGAGAGGGACTGTATACCCCCCCCGGAACAAACCCCCCATCCACCATCGCGCCCCCGGCCGGCACTACGCGAGGCCCAATGGCCGGCGCGGGCGGAAACAGGCGCAGTGATTCTTCAATAACGGCATTGACGCCCGGCAAGACACTCACAGCGGAAAAGGTGATGCTCTCACCATCTTTGAACGACCCGCGGACTTCCTCGCGCACTCTTGCTAGCCACACAGGGTGTTTCAGCAGGTAAAACAGACATGCGGCCAGGGCAGTCGCCGTGGTCTCGCTGCCGGCCTGGATGATGATGGCGGCGTTGGTCTCGATCTCTGCCCGAAGCATCCCACGCTCGTCGTCCTCGTTGTACCGCTGGATATACGAGATGATATCCGGGCGGGCGGTTTCGGTCGCCAGACGCCGGGATACTTTATCCTTGCTCATTTGATAGTGGGCGACGCGCTTTTGGGTGAAGCTGGATGGCATGAATGTGCAAAATACCTTGAGGAGAGGAGGGTAGATTGCCATGGCACGCATGCATGCGCCTGTCTTGATGCTCTGGAACACCGTCGCAACCCACGGGTGGTACTCGGATCCCTGTAAGCACCCAAAGGGCTCGCCAAAGGCGAGATCGCCGATGATGTCAAACGTAAGGAAGTTCAGCCATTTCTCGATATTAACGTCCTGCCTGGAATCGGCGTATTCTTGTAGTCTCTCGATAAAAAGGTCAATGTAGCCCACAATCAAGGCCTCCTGCTCACGCAGTGATCGGTCCGAAAAGGCGTGTGCCAGCAGTTTCTTCTGCCTCGCGTGGTCCGCCTCGCTTGCGTTGACCATATGCGACGACCCCGGGGCCGTGGGGGTGAAGAATTCCGGGTCCTTGGAGAAAGGCAGGGCGCCATGCTTGCGGTAGCCGTAGATGTCCGTCCAGGCCTCGGGGGTGCGGTAGGTGAGGGCATTGGGGCGGAGGCGCACCACAGGGCCGTAGAGGTCATGCAGCTCGCGGATGCGCGCGTGTAGAACCCCTGTGATGGTCCAGTAGACATATGGGATGCTAGAGACCGCCGTGAGGAGAGGACCAGGATAGCCGCGGAGGGGATGAAAGAAGATGCGATAGAGCGGGCGGGGGAGGGCGAGGGTGACGAGCTGTGTGATATCAGTAAATGTACGGCCAAGGTATGCTGAGGATTTAGGAGAGGTAGTCATTACTATAATCATAATCCAGCCAGCCATCTCAATGTCAAGAGAATGATGCCACTGACTGAGGAATTCCCCAGGCAATGACTATACTATAAAAACTAAGGACTTGGGTTGTAAGCTGTCACTACGGTGACACAAGCATAGCCAGATATGGATCATGTAAGGGTTAACAAATAACATGCATTAAATGAAATAATGAAAATAAAAATAACATAAGAATGAAGAGGAGAAATAAGAAGAATCCGGAAATGATAGAATATACTTGATAGTGTATGCTAATATCTATAGTAAGGAAACATCATCTCTGGCCAAGTACACTGCACCCCTATCTATAGGCATTGTCCCTGTTACAAACCCGCCGTCTCGGTCAATCCTCTTTATATAAGGCCTACACCGGCAGCAGCGTCACGACCGCCCCAGCGCCACCGTATCGCCTGTTCTCCAGCTTGCTTGGCGGAATATGGTTACTGAGCTTTGATAATGCTCTTACTATATCCCTAGATAATCATCAACTGCAGCTCCCTCGTGGGAGACGACAAGGGCTCTATGTCGGGCCAGTCCAGCACTGTTCACCGCTATATTAAGCTATCTAAAACATAAAATAGTTTTCTGCACCATATTCTGCACACTGGCAGATTATATAATATTAACAAGAATTTAGTGTTATAAATTTAGTATAATATATATAGCAAAAGAATATTTACTAAAACTTAATAAAGTACAGATGGCTACAGTCAATATAGATATACCATATCAGATATAGCTTGTATTTATATTATTAACTTAATTATTAACTTTTTTCAATATCTTATTATTTATATATGCTTAGCGCTTGACCCTACTATATACATCTCTATAACAGCCTATATCTAACCCTAAGTCATCAAGTTAGACAGTTCAATATAGCTATCATTATTGACTCCATAGAGGGGGAATCCCTGCGTCATTTAGCTACAAGTATCTAATAGGAGGATCAGAAAATAGCTTATTATCTCCTGTTAAGCTACTCTTAACTGATATCTAATTTATTGGTTCTACTTCTTAGTCAAGCTGCATAAACCTGCATTGCATATATCAACACAATGCATTGTAGATGGTCTCTAGTATTCTATCTATACTAGGATTTAGTTATCACCACATATCTAGCCTTCACATCCTTCAATCTGACCTTCTCGGCAGGCAGCCCTACGGCCTGCAGGAGATCTTTATAGAACGGCACCTCTAGCTTACACATCCCAGGTAACCTAGGGCGAAAGTCCTATTAATAATCCCTGATTACACTCTGTGCTTCTAAAGCACCAAAGTCGACCCACCGGATATTCGTCATCATATAGAGTCCAACCACTTCAGCTCACAGACCAGGGCCGTCATCATCATATCTAGTGTCAGCAACACAGTCAACTACATACCGCCACTTCAGCAATCCTTGGTGCTCCCATAGCATCTTCAATAACTTCTAATTAAGTTTCTTAGGTTATGTTGTGGTTCTACTGCCACTATAAAGGATACTCTATATTAATTATTTTAGTGGTGGTGTAATATAAGCAGCTGGCGTCTCTTGATACCCAAAGACATGCCAAATATCCAGCGCAATGGTCTAGTGTGACAGGATTCATGCAAGGAATACTTGTCATATACTGGTCTTACTCGGTATATATACTTAGCCAGTACAACGATACTCATGTGCCTGAGGGGTACTTTATCCACGACAAGTAGTAGTAATACATTGGAGGATGGCCCTCCTCGTCGAAATTAAGAATGTGCTCATCACCTCCTCCAAAGACGTCGCCACCCCCAAGAACACATGGTGCTCGATGCTCTGCTCGGATGCGACGGCTGAGTACCAGTGCGGCTGGCTCTCGCAGGTCGAGTACTACGACCGACTGGCCGACGGCTTTGGCGTCGCCTCGGAAGCTGTCAAGACGGCCTTTGAAACGGTACACAGAACCTTGGCCGTCGATGAGGCCGTCGTCGCGGCCATCGTACAGGCCAAGGCCCGAGATGGACAGCTGAGGGTGCTTGCGGTGGCCAATCTCTCTTCCGACGAAGTGGCCATGGTGCGTGCCCTCCCGCTCGACTGTGGAATGTTCGAAGACGTGTTTATCTCGAGCGAGCTGGGGATGCGGAAGCCCGAGCTACGCTTCTATCGCCATGTTCCGGATGCCGTGGGCAGGACGCCGCACGAGCTCATCCTGCTCGACCGCTGAGCGAGGGAAGGGCTTCCTCCGAGCGAACGCGGGCAAGATGCCGTCGCAGACGCCGTGCGGAGTGACCATCCGAGAGAACTTTGCTCAACTGTTGATACTCGAGGCGGCAAACGATAGGTGAAGCTTTCAGGCAGACTCGAGTCACGGCCAGGTATATCCTAAAAGAGCGAATAGCTACTGATAGCCTTCAGATCTCTGATAGACGTCGAGATGCACGACACAACATGGAACTGCTTCATCGGTAACAGAGCGATTCTATCCTTATTAACCATGACACAAACACTCATATTGATAAGGCACTCCCGTCCTCACGCAACAGAACTTTCCCAACGACCTGGACACGACCTCCCTCGCAATGACCGTTCTGAATCCAGATTCCACAACGGCCAACGCCGTCATGGACGAGATGCTCCACTACCGCAGCCCAGACGGGGTGATTATGGTAAGAAAGCTGTTGCCATTCCAATGAGGCCAGATTCCCTACTAAGCAGACCTTCTTTTCCCCCTTCAAAAACCGCGTTGACCCCGTCGTGTGCTGCAACGTGCTCAGCCTCTTCTACAAGCACGGGCGAGGGCACGAGCTCGCCGAGACGCTCACCTGGGTGCGCGACGTGGTCATCCACCGCGCGTACATCCCGGCGATCGTTAGAGTGAGTAGACTTGTCGGATAATGGACTGGATCCAGATGCTACAGTACAGCAATAATACACTAGCCAATTCCACCAATCCATTGCATTGTCGCAAGGAGAGAACCCAATATGCGGTCAGCATGTTATTATTGAACAGGCAGTAGAGTTCAGGCGTTCCACAGTCATACCAAACAAGACAATTCAAAGCATAAGCATAGAAATGACAGTCCCTCGCAGAGGTCGATCTCCAGCGGTGAGATGAATATATATCTGTCATAAACTAAAACATATATACTGTGTATATATATAGTTATAAGCCACAGTCTCCTTGCAGTTATCTTCAAGTATATCAAGGTGTATTCATCCAAGGCCATGCACTTCTCACCCTTTTTGAGCATCTTCATGCCCAACCCTGGCACCGCAAAAACTGCCCCTCATGTAAGCATAAAACAGCAGATATTGCGCCTGCAGCCTTGCCAGATACGCCCGTAGCACGCCTGGAATCTGTAAACCCTAACCCTAAACCCGGTCAAGGCCAGAGCCACCCGCCCAACCATCAAAGGCAAAATTTAGATGCTGGACTCTGCCGCAAAAAGACCCCTTGAAGCCTAGAACAGAATAGGGAGGGGGTAGAGCACAGTAGAGAGCACGAGGCCTGTGTATGCCGCCCGGCGTGGGGGTTTCGACAGAGTGTCTGGTAATAACACCGTATCTAATAATAAAGGCTTCTAGTGACCTCTTGGTAATGATCAACGGCCACTAGTTCTACAGCCAAGTGAAAAAGTAACCTCGCCTAGGCGGTTCCGGGTCCAGGGCTGAGCACTAGCCTAACTTTCCCCTCATCTGCCATGCTTATCAGATTTTAGCGCCTTGGTATGGCACTCATAACTGGCTGGATTAATAAGGCTAGATAACGGTTAGAGTTAGATTTTGACCCTTACCACCTTGGGTAGATTTTACCAGTTTCACTACTAATAGGGATAGGCCAATTGGAGCCAAATTGGCCAAGTTCTGCACCAGACGCTAACACAATAAGCATGAAAAATAAGGGGATATTTTAACTTTAACATCCAAACTACTGCTTACTGCTTAGACCCGGCCCACGGGTAGTATGGAGTCATATCCTGGACTCGTTAGCGTTCGTTAATATAAGACTAGTACCCTGCAGCCGATGTCACCATCTCTAGTTTTGATAAGCCCCTCTTCTTAGGTGCAGTGGTTGACTTTTTCCGACGTGTCTAGTTATAGTCATATAGTTGAAAGTTCTAATTGGATGATTCCTTGATTCTGTCTTCTTGATCCTTGTGCGAACATTGTTTTGAAATGCGGTGGAAAGGTATAGTACCAGAATGTATTTCACGAGTAATACGGTACGCAGCATAATTACAATACACTTCCATAAAACTATCCTCTTGGTAAAAGCATTCTTCCCTTTCTTCTATCAGCTCAACTGGAATCATGTCGGGCTCCTATATCTATCACAGGTATCGATAGTTCATGGATATTCTCTAATGATGACGGTCTATTGACGATGCTAGGGTTGGTGAAGAAGACGAGGAGAAGCTTGCAACGAACAAGCCTCGGGTCTCTCGATGGAAGGCTCTTCGCGACACCCTGATCGTCCTGCTTGCCATCTGGGGCTTCATCAGTCTTGTGCGCTCTCTCCATATCCCTCTTCCTAACCTTCATCCGCGCCTGGAGGGATGCCAGTGCGGGAATTCCATCGCGGAAGCCATGGAAATGGGATGTAAATACGACTCGCTGGCGGCAGCGTGGTTGCCCGAACACTGTCGGGACGATGAACTGACCGCCGAGTTTGAACGATCGGGCGATGGACCCAATGGATCAGTATGTTCCTGGGCAAAGGCATGGATCAACTGCTAAATAATGATAGTGGCTATACTACAAAGACACCCACCACACAGAGCCGATGACCGTGGAAGAAGTGGCAGCCCTGGGCGACCAGCCCGAGGCGCGCTTCCATATGACGGGCCAGTGGCACAAGGTGCACTGCCTCTTCTACTGGCGCAAGGAGCATCGGTTCCGCTTCAACGGCAAGACGGTTGAGCCTCGCTCCGATACGGAGGCGCATATCCATCACTGCGGCCAGATCTTCATGGGGGAGACGTACGGGACTGTATCTGGGGTGGTATTCAATACAAATGAGGAGTGATGATGATTCTTATAATGATCATCAATTGATGTACGTCTTTTTATAAAGTGTTCAACATCTTCCCACCCATGAATTGCCCACGGTGGTCAGGTTATCCCATGTAGGCGAATAGCGGGCCTGTCGCAGGAGATATTCCAGACAATGCACAGAATGTGGATACGAGAGGGAGAGATCATCAATCCGCGCCTGGTTCGACACGCTGTAGGCCAGCCGTTTCAGCATATATGCACAGTGCGTGAGATGCTCGCCCTCGGTTGTATACCACAGCTTGAACTCACGGCCCAAGCCGGCCTCGTATTCGTCCAGCGGCGCATAGAGCGCAATATCGGCGATCGGATGCCTGGTGTTGGGGTCGTCATAAAAGATCCATCCGGTGTTGTTCGCCGCTGCGAGGTATTCCCTCTCGCCGACGCGGGGACAGTCGGCCGGCAGCCAGGCTTTGACGAGATGATCCCAGGTGCAGCCGCGGGCGAGGGCTTCTGTACGGGTATGCCCGCATGTGTGGGGGGTATTGGATGGTGCAGTGAAAGAGATTGAAACCACCACAAGGACGATGGAAAGAATGGCAATGATGAAGAGGAGGAGTGGAATGACCAACTGCTGTTTTTGTCTCGGGCGGTCTTCGTCGTGTAGCTGATGGTATTTTGCTGCCATGATGGAAACAAGGACTACACTGACAACCTGCAGATGCTTCATAGCTATAGGAAGTTGGTACTATATACCTAGTATAAGTATGACTGAGTGAGACGTGTAACAATACGGTATGTAATGTAATGTTGTCATACACTATAAATAATACATATCCTATTGTGCCCGCCATCATATCAACGAGCAAGACCCTCCAGTCTATCTTTTAAAACGCTGATGATGGGCTTCCCCTACACACAGCTGGTCCATGAGGATGAGCTCGAGCGGCCAAAGACGAAAACTCACCCTGGCTGGATTTTCGGTGCCGGCGTCTTCAGCGGAGTGATTGTGTCTGTCATTTTGTATGCGCTGTTGAATTTCTCCGTGCTTGTGGTCCAGCCCTGGGTGCTGTCCACCCCTCAATCAGTCTCCGACGAGATCCAGGGCACGCAGTGTGGCAGCTCGTGGCAGGAAGCCAAAGCGATGGGCTGCCACTACGACGTGATGGCCTCGCGCTGGTACTCGGACGAATGCTTCGACGCCGAGGTGCTCGAGGAGATGCTGCTGGAGCCGCAGGTCAACTTCACCTGGTACATGGACGAGCAGCACACGCAGGAGGTGCCCTGGGAACTCGCTCTCTCGGGGGAGTTTGAAGTGCTGTATCCGCTCTACGACTTCCACAAGATCCACTGTCTCTACCTCTGGCGCCGTCTCCACCACGCCGTGCTGAATAACCGGCCCCTCGACGACGATCTGCTCGAATACGAGCATACCGTGCACTGCACCCGCAACCTGCTTACCTGGCCGGATCCGCACGTCCAGGAGGGCCTGACCACGGCCCACGCGGGGATTCCGTTCTGTCGCAGTAACCCGTTGGGTGTATTGCCCGTGTCTGGATAGAATACGAGGATGTTACTAGCTCTGCAATTCAGTTCCATGGTTACATCGTCTCACCATCACATTGCAGTAGTCTAATAGCCTGGTAGATATCTTGCCTCTATAAACATCGGTTAGGTCCTACTTCCTTACCACTTACCAAATACACATACCTTATTGAAGTCCATAACTATCTCTGTCATCTCTATTTCACATCCATCACTCACAAAATGAAGGCCTCCCTATTCTTTCTTTCAATCGTGGTCGCCTCTGCGGCAGCCCTCCCTGTTGTCCAGCGGGGGACTGACACTGCTGCCACCTACCCTGTCGCTGAAGAGGATATCGTCACTCGTGGGACTGACACTGCTGCCACCTATCCTGTCGCTGAAGAAGATATCGTCACTCGTGGGACAGATACTGCTGCCACCTACCCTGTTGCTGAAGAAGATATTGTCACCCGTGGCACAGATACTGCTGCTACATATCCTGTAGCAGAGGAAGACATCGTCACTCGTGGCACAGATACTGCTGCTACTTATCCTGTAGCAGAGGAAGACATTGCTGTGTAGTAAGCCGCTCCTTCACCCCCAAAGGCAAAGCTGATGATCTAATATGAGATAGACAAATATCAAATAGACATCAAGAGTATATAGATGCCTCAAGTAGCCTGAATGATGAGCAGTATGACTGCTGGTTCAAATATATACAGTAACCCTAAACCCTAAACCCTAACCCTAACCCTAACCCTAAGGCTAGTTCAAACCATAGGCATATGATGTAGATTAACTAATTATCATATATAGGCTCTAATCTAGGAATGTTCACATCACACCTCCCATCATATGTCAAGGGCACCTTGATAATAATCTCATCCCAGGCATGTCGGAAGGGATCCGCCATCCAGTGCTGGCAATGATGGAGATGTTCCGCGTCTAGATCCTCGCGAGAAACGCCCGCTTGACCACGGAAGAACTTGCGCAGGAGGAACGTGCAGTGCCAGAAATGCCCTCGCCAGACTGTCCACAGGAAGCCTTGTTCCGTCACCCCCGTGAGATCCCCCCGCGCGACCACCTCCCAGTCCACCGGCTGCTGCCCTTCCCGGTCCAGGTAATAGGGCAGCTGGTCTTGCTCGCGCACGCGGAGGAAGTCGCTCTCCAGCGCCTCGTCGAAACACGCGGGAGGCTCCCAACTGTAACTCCAGGTCTGGAAGCGGCAGCCTAATTCGCGAGCCTCGACAGAGCTGTTGCCGCACCCCAAGAGGGGGGATGGAGCGGGGGCGGCGGCCTGAAGCCGACCAAGACCGAGAAATACCGTCCAGACAAGGGAGGCGAGGAGAGCGCCGATCCCTGCGCTGACCACGAGAGGAAACCGTTGCAGGGCGGCAGGTCGAGCGAGTGGCTGGTCGGGGCTGTCAATGAGGGTCTTGCAGTCCTCCTCGTCCTCGGAGAGACGGTGGTATAGAGCCATAATTAGTGGTGATGTTTGCGAGGGGGCGGATTCTGGACCCTCGAGTCTCTGGTGCGTCTTTATCTCACCAGTTTCTTCAAATTGAACTCTAATATATTGCATCTGGTACATACCTGATTAACTTGCATATTGTAGTCTGTAGTAAGAATGGTAGCATCGTGTTGATCTCCACCCGCTTTCGTCAACAGGTGCAGATATTGTGTGACGGTTTCTTTCTAATGAGACAATACACAATACACATTTACAGTACCACGTACAATACCACGTAAAATACCAATACATACAGCAATGATACCACCTGCAACAATACTAACCCCGCAGCAATTCTGACTGTAGTTTTGGCCTCTTCCAACCTTTGATTTTCTCCAGGCTTCTCATTCTCTACATCCCAGGAACATGGACCACCTATACAAAGAATGGAAGGAAAGCTCCGAAAGGGTCTCTGATGAGGAGCTCCCTTCGGAAGAAGCTGGACTGATCGACGACAAGGTCTCTGTCAAGCGTACCAGGCAGCCGCTACGCATTCACCCACGGCTGCTGTTCGAGGCATGCCTGGGAGGAATCATCCTGATCTTCATCCTCGTCTTTGCTGCCCAATCCTCGGCCCCTAGAAGGGGCCTTCCACGATTCGGACCGTCACGTATGTTATTAACATGAGTTTATGGAGCTTTTTTGCATGGTCTGACGGACAGTCCCTGAAAAGGTCATCACCTTTGGCAACACGGCCGGCATTGGACCCGATTTGGTCTATGCCGACCATGAAATGCTATGGAATGCCACCCGGAACCGTGAACTGCATGAGAACTGGCAGGCTTTATATCCAAGTGAGTCTCTGCCCACCCACACAACAGAGTCTTATACTAGAGGGCTAATGAGCCAGAGGGACGGGGGTACATCGTGGCACACGACGGGGATGATTTCGAACACGCCAACCCTCCTTTTGCCATTGACGGCTACTTGAGTCCTGATGATCATTATGAGGGCTACATTCTCTCAGTCTTTCACCAGCTACACTGTCTAGTAGGTTGAAAGAATGCATCGCTAGCTCTAGTAAGCATGCTGATACCTGCCAGTCGATTTTAATGTCCCGGCTGGGCACCTCGCATGAGGAATTCGCCACACACACCCCCGAACAACTCGAACATGTCTCCCATTGCGTGGAATACCTGCGCCAGGCCATCCTCTGCTCGGCCGACACTTCCCTCGAGGGCGAGGCGGGCGCCTGGGCTGTCAGCACTGCCTGGGGCCAGAAGCACACATGCAAGGACTATGACGCCCTGATCGAAGTGGCCAACGAGCGAGCCATGTGGGATCTCTCGCATTCCCGGCATCCGGACCTGACCAAGCTCAAGCCGGATCCAAAAGAAGTCGAGGGTAAATACGGCGGGCATTAAAAGACTCTCAATATAGTCTCTTCATGTATAGGCAAGTGTTGCAAATACATTCTAATGTAGGAGGCAACATTTATGTGTACAGCCATGCATTTTTACTCCAATTAGAACTCTTATTCATACTCCACAAAAGCTCCAGTATGTACTCTATATCTGACAGCAAGTATTTAATGTCAATTATTGACAGTCTCATGAAGAATAGGTTGATGTCATCTTCTGCTGTTGGCCAGACCAAATTCCTCTGTGATCTATAAGCTATCATATATTAACTAAACTCTTACTCTTAAGACATCACAGATCTCTGAGCAACCTATAGATAGTTACATTATTTATGTGAGAAAACTCAGTCTACAATGCTGCTAACTAGAAACTAAAAGAGAAAGGCGTCCAGGACATTCCATCTTCTAACTATATCCCCACGGTCTACAGTTCTGTCCATGACATCACATATATTGGCAGCATCTTGAATGACGCCGAGCATTTTCAAAATATCTTCTATGCAGAAAAACCAATAGGGCCCTTACGCTTTACACCTTCCGTCCCTTTAATCCCCCCTAAGGGGTCAGTGATCGATGCCAGAACTGCTGGAGCCTGGTGTCCTTAGGGAATAGGCTCCTACCCTTCACCAGTTGTGTGATGAATATCAGTGAGGATTGTCTCAGTTTACGAGTTGCCCGCTCAAGAGGGGTGAATCGAAACCAAAAGGTCCCAGTTGTGGTATACCTACATGGAGGTGGGTATTGCAATTTTCCTTGTGGCCTTATTTTTAACGAGAAGAATAGGAGGCCATGCTCGGCTTCGGATGTTTTATATAATCCTGACGGTTTGGTCAGGGAGGCTATTGGAGTTGGAAAGGCAGTGATTTATGTTGGGGTTAACTATCGACTGGGCTGTGAGTTTCTACAGGAATTTCTTTTTGGATGCATTTTAATCGCTGAATGATCGTTAATTGTCAAAGTCTTTGGCTTCGCGACTAGCAAGGCTATGGTCGAGAAGAAGCAGACAAATGCTGGACTTCGGGACCAGAGGGCTGCATTAGAATGTGAGAATCTCGTCTTATTTGAACCTCATCCGGCTAATCATCTCAGGGGTTCGTGACAATATACAAGACTTTAGAGGTGATTCTAACAGAGGTATATCCTATATTAATACAACCCACCTCAAGAAACAGAACCTACTGACCATCAGTAACTGTTATTGGCTAAAGTGTTGGAGCCAGTGATATTGGACTTCACTTGACCTCCTTTAATGGTACTCAAGGTGTACCTTTTCAACAAGCAATGTGAGTTTTTGATTGATGAATTAAACCCTAAACCCTAACTTCATAGGATGATGTAAGGTGCTCCAGGACTCAATTTCAACAGCAACCCAACCCTTGTTGCTAAGAATACGGAGGTTATTGCCCAGAAGGTCAACTGCATCCTCCCTGGTGAAGATGCCCAGTCATTAGCAACTCTCAAGTGTCTCCAGGAAACATCGTCCGATATCTTAACCAACCTCTCCGTCACAGCCTCCCGCAGTGCCCGGCCCCCCTTTAGTGAAGGATTCTTCTATCCCACTATAGATGGACGACCCTCTGAACTTGTCCGTGCAGGGAAATTCGTGCATAATATGCCAATCATTGCATCATGGGTTACAAATGATGGAGCTTGGTATGCTTCTCCATCCACCGCTACTGATGCCGACGTTCTTGCAAGTCTTGAGCTCTGGGTGCCCCATTTGTCAGGTGCGACAAGAAAAGCCCTCCTTGATCTCTATCCTATCATGGACTTTGTACATATGGTTGACCATTCTGGGGAAGGAGGTTTAATTTCCCCTCAATATTATCGTGCGGCGCAGATGAGCCGGGATATCTGGTTTACCTGTCCTGTCCTTGATTTCACATGGCAGTACAGCCACAACAACAACAATAATAGAAGGGCAAAGGTATGGTTATATGAGCACAATGCCACCCGGTATTCACCGGTATTCCAAGCTATGGGGGTTTCTATGTGGCGCGTGTCGCATCTGAGTGATATCCCGTATATCCTCAACAATCAAAATTTAGGGGCTGGAGCCGATAATTCCTTGGGGCACCTTGAATTATCAGAGACGATGAGTCGACAGGTCATTTCGTTTGCGCATTATGGGGCGGGCTGCAAGGAGAGAGTCCAGAGGAAATCTCAATCCAGGTCTTCAATGGTCTGAAAAGATCCAATGAGGTAGTGACTGCCACCAAGGGTAAGCAAGTGAGGGAGAGGAGTGACATAGAGCAGGCTGTGGCGTGGGAGAAGTTATTTGAGCGCTGTGAATTCATTAATAGTCCACAGATGAGACAAGAGGCTGGTGTACGAAAATTACATCTATAAATCAAGTATAGAAGTGTATTCAACAAGATCACCCATAATAATATCCATATTCTGGCAACTTCAATAGAATATATATATAGCATACGCCTATTTAGTTTATATGATCTCTATTCCATCACTGTATAGCTAACCTTTGATACACCTGACTTGCGAGCAATCTTCCTGACAGCCACTGGACCGCATAGATCTGTAGTCTCCACATGTGTCCCTCCGCAAGGATACACTTCAGCCCCAACAATATTCACCACACGCAGTTTCTCCCCAGGGGACAACTTGCGTGGGATCAAACGCTGCAGGTCGTTAGAGATAAAGTCACTTTCATCCCACCATTCTATCCTGACTGGCAATTTGGCAGCAATCACTTCGTCCACTTTTTTCTGAATGTCGGGTTTGTATTTCCCCTCAATCGCACCCCGGAACTCACAGCTCGCCGAGTCAGGAAAATGGGACGCCTTGAGCTCATCAAATCCCTCAATTTCATTTTCCAACAGGCTTCTGACTGCTGAGCCTAAAACATGTCCTGCAGTATGGTACCGGGAGTACAGGATCCGTTTATCAATGTCGATGTTCTGTATGATAGTGTCTCCTGCGCTGAAGATCCTCTGGTCGGTGAATATACCCAAATGCAGCACTTTATCATCTCGCATTCGAACAGAAGTCACAGTGAATACTGCATATTCAGCCTTCATCACTCCTTCGTCAGACGGCTGGCCACCCCCCTGCGGGTGAAAGATAGTCTTGTCGGTGACAACGATATGGTGATTGGGAGTGCCGTCTTTGAAGAGCCCATCTTCGGTAAAGGAGAAAACGGCAAGGACAGTGGCTTCAAGGGAGTAGAGATTTGAATTGTGGTAGATAAGAGCTGTCATTTTGTGGACAGTAGAAGGATCCATATGAAGAAAATTACCCCTCCATAATGAGATGGCCACTAGCTCGCTGTTAGTAATACTCTAAATTACTAACTATAGTATGGTATTTAGCATCACTACCATCTTCGCTTAAGACACTACTTGATTGTCACCTATCACTGGTGTATTATTTAGCTTCCAGCTATTCTGCAGTGGCCATTGGTTTATAGGATAGCCCTCTAGATTATTCCTAATTATAGACCACATGTAATATATATTATGATATCTAGGCATTCTGAATACAAAGCTAATGTCATTGATTCCCATAGTTACGTGACCACCAGCAAATCTCTAATGTTGCATCTTTTTTACTTGGCGGAGAACGAGTAGATATTATGATTTTTTAACAGCTGATATCCATCTCTTCTGGGTACTTAGCAGTCTTCTTAGTGGTCAAGGTAATCTCCATACTCTTTATAATTCGCTATAATAATAGTATCTACTTGGTTATAAAGGTCTTGATTCACTCTCTTCAATTAAAGTAATGAAGAGCTTTGGTAGCAGGTAAAGTTCCTGTGAGCTCAACAACCTTTCACTCGTCTGCAAATACTCTTCTCGAAATGTATGCCATAAGGAAGGCTCCTTTTGCGGTCGAGGAAAAAAAGGATCATTCCTTGAAAACGCTGTTACGGCCTGGTGCACACCCTTCTCATCCATAGACATTGACCTGCAGACATCAAAGTCGAGGATCCACATGCAATGCTCACCGAGGATATTTGAGATAATCGTATCATCATTACTCCTAGTATCTCTACCCTCATCTTCTTCACTGTCCTTTGCTGGTGGTGCTAGGACGAACTCAATGTCATTACCGTCAACCTCTCCCACCCAGTGTATGATGGCTAAGGTTTGGGCCATGATCAAGGCATATTCTTGTATATCAGTCGAGGGAATTTGTAACTCTTCCATTTGGTCCAGATGAAGAGGATAATTCCGGAGGGAAAATGTACGCAATAAGCGCCGCGTGGTTTGGGTTCGTCGACGGCCCAGATATGCACGAACAAGACAGGCCTCGTTGGGTCTGCTGGATACGATTTCTTTTTGGATCTCGTCTGGACAGAACTTTTCCACGAGGAGTCGCCTGGTCGGTTCTTTGAATGGGGGAATGCGTTGCGCCTGAATCATGTTGCAGGGCGTGTATCCCTCTGGGAATCGGGGTAGGTTCTCCCTCCACCAATCGTGCTGGTCGGGGGTGATGAACGTGTCGCATTGCGGAATTTTGACTCGGATGTGGATTCCGTTTTGCTTGGCTGTCACAAACGCTTCAAGAAGCCTTTTGTGCATGGTGAAGTCGTTAGCCAGAGACCGCTGAGGTCCGCCATCTTCACGTTTGAAGGCTGGGCCGGGCGATGCCGTGGACCACACGGTACCGCAGAAGCCACGGCCAATATTATGGAAATCTGCCATATTGTCTGTTGTTCTCTGTTGGAAACAAGACAAGAGCGCAAGTTGGAGGAAAGATTGTCTTGATCCTATAGCCTAGGCAGCAACTGTCGGTCATATACCTGTTACTTTGGTTCACTTCTAAGTAACCAGATAATTGTTAAGTTGAACCATGGCGAGGCAATCAACAAACGACGAGGAAGCGCTTCGATTAACTTACCAAGAAATCAGTGGCGTCTACCCATGGGTCATGGCTGGCTTACCGCCATATGTATTTCTCTTGTCTCCGTTTTCGCTTCCTGACAATCCCGAGGTATCCCCACGTCAGTTGGAAGAGGCTGAGGTGATCTGGAATCTTTTTCAAATACGGTTAAAATGGGCATGAAATTTTCTCGAAGTTAAGCACTAGGGTTATAATTGACAGCTGATGCTGCGTAATCTAGACGCGATGATATTAATATGTCATAATGCTAAAGGAAGAGATTCTCGAAATCTTTCTATTTGTTTATTCTCTTCTGAGGTCGCTTCAGCTGAGAGCTCCTCCCTAAATATGTATCTCAAGGGCCAATTAAAAGTAAGAGCAGGAAGAAAGCTCTGATTGAAACTTATATAAACCATGAGGGTATTAGTTGTATATAGTTATAGGGTTTCATCTTCTCCTGAAGGTGAAAGGGGCCTTTTTTGAAGATAATCTTTGATTTTTGTTCATCTCTTAGTCTAGTTATCACCTGACTCTTGTCTCTTTCAGCCATACCACCCTTTATGGCTATGTGCATATGCCAAGAGAATACTAATCATCGTACTCATAATTCATTTGACTCTTGGCATGGTTCTTCGCGACTTTCTAGGCAACTGTGCAAATGGCTGATGCTACGGGTCTGCAGTGATGGACGCCATGTGCGTGGGAGTCCTCAGCTAGAAGAGCTGGTCGTACACGGCATGAGGGGCCCATCAAGATGAATGAAATACTTGGGGCCGTGTAGCCTGGCTTGTTACATGATGGACCACCTACTACGCCAAATGGTTGGATTCTAGTGGTCGTGTTCCCCCCCGGAATAAGAAAATGAGTCGAGCTCTATGTCTGATAACCACCCCGCCCTCCGACAAAGCCGAGCCGATTGACCTTGTCTTATCGTGTTCTGGAAATAGATGGGGCTGATGAATAGTGAGAGTGTCATATATGTCGGCAGGGGACCTTGAAAGGTGGGCAATGTATTGGCGAGGGAGATAGCATAGCAATCCTAGGGCATCACTATTTCTGAATCGTGTAATCCTTATCCTCAACCCTAAAGAACGCAATTAGCCGCTGTTGCCTACTGCGTGCGGTATTAGCGACTGGCTCCACGGCCAGTTCTACCATTATGAGCTGGAGACCCTTAAAGGGGGGCTTCTATCGCTCCCACCTCCGCGCAATGTCCATTGATCTTGTCCTGCGCATTGCGGGCGGCTCTTGAAGTCTATTTCTAGCACTCTATATGTTTAGCTTCTGCTTTCCCTTTGTTTCATCATATCCCTTATAAACTCACTCTCAAGTTCATCATGTTCTATCTCACTTCTGAAATTTCTGACCTTCTTCATTCCTTTACCCCTCCAATACAGCCTGTCCACTTCTTCGTGTTTTTGAGGACAAATAGCTACTTTTTAATAATAAAGCTAACTAACCAGCCACTTTTTGATTCTCCCGTGTCGTAGTACCTGTATACGATGTGGAGAGTATACGTATATCAGAGCTTTGACAGATGGCAAGCAACCTTTGTATAGATTCTAGAATATAAGTATCTAGAATGTAGAATATCATAGTACTTTAATACAATTAAGGAGACTTCTCATTTCCAATTCGCATTACTCGCACACCACCTCATTGCTCAGGAATGTCGCATCGATCTCAAAGCACTGGGTGGTGCTGGTGATCTCATAAGAGCCGTACAAGGATGCATCAGTACACCCGGAGGCAGTGTACATCTTCAAGACCGGGGAGGTTCCATCGTCACAGGAGCCAGATTCAATCGAGGCAGAAAACGATTTGAGGGGGAGACCGTTGTTTGGGCCACAAGCGCCGGAGATGACATTGGCAGCCTCGATGCTAGGAGAGACGCAGTCGGCGACATAGTAACCACTGAAGGCAACCTCGATGGTGGCCGTGGCCGTGGCCACGAGGGCGGGAATGAGGGCGAGAAGCTGTAATTGTCAACATGGAAAAGAAAGACTGTTACGTAACTAGTCACCTAGTTACTGATAGTTATTACTAACCTTGAATTGCATGGTGGGAGAGGATAGAGAGGTAAGATCTGAGTCTAGTCTGTTGAATAAGGCGAAAGTGTCCCTGTTCATGATGTTCTGACGGACCCTTTTATAGAGGTAAAGACGGTTCATCTCACCAGGATGTGATCCCAAGACGGCGGAATGGTTCCGAGTGCCAAGATGAGCGGAGATTTTTCACCGCTGTCTTTATGAGATCCATTTTCCTAAAAGGGAAACTTGTTAAGCTACCTCTCTCTTTACTCATCTTCTCATCATCGCTTATGAATCAGCCACCTCAAGCTAACAATGTCTACTAATCTCAATGGCAACAAACCTTCTGTACTCAGCCAATATTGCAGTTTGTCTTGGCGGCTTGGCTAAAATGTGGTCGATAGTTGCACTTTGAATAAACGTGTCATGTCATTATCTTTCAAGGGGTTATGACTTCGAAAGTCGTTGGTATCAATATGGTGACATCTACTATGGGAAAGCACCAATCAAAATGCCTGTGCGTACAAGTTTGAGTGCCTCATTCAAGTTGACCCCATCGGTAAGAGTTGGCGAGATTTTAGTGTGGGGATAATGCAAAAGACCTCCTCTTCTTCTAGAATCGGTATGGCAGCTGGTCAATGAGTCCTTTACGTTCGTCCACTATTACTATTACCAATAATTATATGCCCTTGGCAATTGGAAAATGAGGTCGCCCTCTGGGCTGATAGTTTTATACTATAGAATAATGGTAGGCTCCACCTAGTTGGGCCAGCTATACTATATTCAATTTCCTTTTACTTGTGGCACCTTCTAAATGGTATTGCAAATACATATGATCATATATTACTCTTTCAAATTTAGCCGTTCAGGCTATATGCCTCTTTTCCTTAGATACTTGCTCCTCCTAGGGCTCTAGTACCTATCAGGACTACAATAGCGATGTAACTCATCATATAATAGTTATATAGCTGCCACCATAGGTGTTATAGAAGAAAGGCTATGATGATGGTATATGGGGTGGGGGATATAGCCACCGGAACTACATTTTTATAGTCTGTTTAGTTATAACCATGGGTTAAAAACATCAGCTGGACGGACGGGTCCAGAGAGAGATAGTAAAGCAATCTAAAACCGTATATTATACAAGCCTATGTATCATAAAATCTGAAAGTCTCCATGTTTAATGGGCTTCGCCCTATCGCTAGGAGCCCAGGAAATCATATTAAATATCTGGAAATAACATGAAGCTCCCATAGCTATTTGTTTAGCCCATCAGCTTAGCAAGTGCCGGAAGGGGCATTCTTGCAAAGATCAGCCTTTCCGCCAGACACAGCGACCTTCGTCCAAGTCCAGCCAGAGCAGCTGGAGGTGCTACCACACTCGATAGTGACATCGGTACCGGCAGAGGTAACAGTGCCGTGGACATTGTTCAAGGTGAGACCAGTGATGGGAACGCCGGTGGTAGGACTTCCAGTGTATCCAGCATTGGTGTAGTCCTGACGGATGGTGACTCCCTGGCTGGTGATGCCGGAGAGAGTGATGTCCTGGAAGGTGACGCCCTTGATGCTACCGGTGGCGCCGGCGACAGCCTTGACACGAACGCCTGGAAAAGGTCATTGGTGAGTACAGGTGTGCGTTTAGTTCTCGATAATTGAAGATGATACATACCGTTCTGAGAGTTAACAACCTGGGTGTCGCTGATCTTCACAGTGTCAACAACATTATTAGAGCGGCCGCCGACAGAGCCGATGGACAGTCCGTGACCGCCGGAGCAGTAACCGCCAGAGAAGACAATATTCTAGCTCACACTTAGCAGGTAGTTTTAATGAATCCACATTCTTGAAATGCGTACCGTTCCCGAGTTGATAGCAAGGCAGTCATCCTGGTTGTAAACAGTGGCACCAGTGATGGTGATGCTGTCACTGTCACCGATATCAAAGGCGTCGGTGTTGTGGCCGAGGGAGTTGACATCACCGTCCTTGTTATTGATGGTGGCACCACTGATAGTCAGGCCAGAAGAGCCGTCAATGCTAAACACCTGGACCGGAGAGTTCTTGATGTTCAAGCCTGTGATGCTGGAAGTTCCCTTAAGGCCATGGGCAAAGAAAAACTTGGGTTTGATGTTGGTCTTGGAGTTCGAACCCTCGCCATCCCACCAGCGAGAACCATCGCCATCGAGCACATGTCCGCTGGCTCCGGAGACCTTGATGTTTGTTCCAGAGACGGAGATCAAAGGTCCCTCCCACTGCTTGTAACCGAAGGTGGTAGTGCCTTGGAAGATGACCTATAATAAACGCTATATGTTAGCTTCAGTCATTGATATGGTGCAAGATTGCTCATTGCTGGCTCACCTCAGTGCCAGTGGCAAGACCAGTCAAATCTAAAGTAGTACCAGCTGGCACGGCAACATTGTTTAAGATGATGGTGGAACAGCTGGCCTTGCCTGCCTTTGCAGCCGCGGCACCAGTGGACCCGGAAAAGGTGCAGCTGGAGGCACGGGGAATTAGCCCGCTGCCCTGGACGGGCTCAGCAGCAGGAGCCCCGAAAACCAGGGAGGACGAACCAAGTAGTCCAAAAAGAATGGCAGTGGTCAACATTGTAAGAGTCAAGGAAAGAAAAAGAGTGAATATATATATTTAGTAAGTAAAGAGTGATGATGATATCCCAGCATGTTTAATGTAGAGAAATCAGACTGTTATATAGTCTATTTCTTATGTGTCCATCGGATCTACTGGTATCTAACTAAATTAAGAAACCCATGGTAACCTGTATAATCCAAAACAGCATGCCAAGCTCCCAATCAGGATAACTACTCGCCTAATATAGTTAGACTAGTTGATTCATGGTAGTTTATTATTTTCTAGGGATGTAATTGGTTGATATTTAATCACGTACTCTTCTTGAAACATCCTGAGGAAACTCTCTTTAACTAGTTAATGTGGTTACCTATGGGTTTACTAATTAAGCCTGCCCTTTACCAGTCTACTCCAAACCCCCTGTCTCACTTGCAGATTCTCTGCCCAATTAATGCTCGGGTTATTTCGTATTATCCGCATTTTCTAAATATTAATAGATCACTTACTTTCCTCATGAGACAAGTGATTTAAGACATTTCATGGGACCAAGAACTTGCAACATTATTATTTCCACCTATCTAGATCGTATTACCTGGTCTAAGGGGGTCCTGGGGCTGCGGCCCGAGCCTCGTTATCGACTTTACACCTTAGTTGTAGCCGAAAATATACATTGCAATATATAGGTGGAAAGAAGTAGAAATTATAGTTTATCCAGAGCAGGAATGCGCTGGCATGACGAGACGAGCTTTGATCTGTAATGAGCTCCAGATTGATCTATGTACTTGGCCAGCCTTTGTCTGCCAGAACGAGTGTTTGGTGAAGCGAAAAGCCTTGAGTGCTCCTAGTAGGCCATGGTTGGAGGTAGACAACGGTAGCACTTAGATGTAGAGGTGACTAGGATAATTAACACACTCCTGATTGACTGCGCCACTGAACAACCTTATGCATCTCTCGTCCTGTTCATATCTCAAACCCACGTCCTTGGCAAGGTTGCTGCTTTCGTTCCAGAACCAGAGGCCATAACCCTTAGGCGTGAGGAGACGATGGGGCCCACGCAGATAATGACACCTGAGAGGGTTACTAGGGCATTATTAAGTATGGGCCTAGTGATATATTAAAGGAGGAGAGTCTTCATCTCTAGTATATTAAAGGAGCTCTAATATTCTAAAACACATTCACTACTGAATCTTATATAGTGCTAAGATAGATTATCTGGCTGTTCAGAATAATCTGTAGTTAGTGAAAATGCCTTTCTATATATGTATAACCACTAAAGCTGCCTTTTAATCAGGATCACTATGCCGGCTCATATTATTAGTTTATTTTTTATAATTATGATCAGCACAGATACTCCTAAGTAACTAGCCTCTTATGGGGTAATTAATTAGAAGAATATAGAATCATATTTGGAAATCCTGAGTATCCTCAATAGACTTCAACAGTGACTTAATCTTACCTTACTGATATAAGAGGAAACTGAAAGCGTTGGGCAGCGCCTTGATATGCAGTGATCATATAATAGGGACCCTAGGCCTGGGTAGCCTGTCTGTGAGGATCAGATAGGAAATATCACCAGGGTAGCTTTGCGTAGTGAGGGGTCATTCACTACATTTTATATATTTTGGGGTTATGTTAACAATGATAACTACTTTCCTATTTTCAAGAAGTAACTATGAATATTGGGACATTTAAAACAGTGAGAAAGAAAAAAGTAGTCATGCTATATATAAATTATAAGACATGATGGGAACAATAATTTAGAACAAGTAAGGCAAGCCTTTTTCACACTCTAGCCATTATTGACTATAAATATAGGCTAGAAGAAATGGTGAACCAATAGCAAATTCTTCTAGACTTAATTAAGGGGATGGGAGGACATGCATTCTGCTGAAAGAGCCATCAGGAGCGATGTAATCAACAGTAATGTGATTTCTTCTATCGGAGCGGCTAGTATGAGGCCCATTCCTACAGCAATGAGTTTGAATTAACCAACACAAAATGTCTTTACTTACACAACCTTCGCGTTGACAGCCCAGGATGGAGCAGAGTTGACAACATCTGCAATGATTGCATTTCTTTTCTTGCGTTTAGATAAGAACATATTTTCTGGGTCGAAAGTAACGTCAGCTGCCGTCAAAGTCATCTTGTTGTGGCTTGGTTGAGCTTCGTCGACAGATTATATACACAAAGCTATGACTTGAAGAAGTAAAGTCAGAGAAAAAGAAAGATATAAAAAGCATCATTGGATTGGTGATACTTGCAAATTATTTGGAGAAGAAAGGAAGGCTTGTTTTGGTTGTTGTTTCTACATGACTCCAAACGAGCAGACAGAGCCTTTTATACTACTTCTTCAAGTCCAGACCTCATTCTGAGCGTATGCCTTAAAAAGGGCTCAGTGTTTCATATTTACTGTATGGTTGGCTTCAGAACCAATGGATACGCCGCTCCAGCATCAATATCTATTTTTATTAAGCGCCTGCTGGGGCCTTCGTTCTACTTGTTAGTTAGGTTTTTATGCTATAGAACCCCTGTATTTGATTTTCATTAATATACATCTAATCCTTTTAAGATAATACTAGTGTATATATTATTATCCTGTAGGGTGAAGTTAATCTATAAAGATATCCTACATCTATATAGCTGAGCATAATGACGATTTCAAAGTTTTCTTAATATAATAAATTAGATATGAGAATAATAGTCATCTTAACTGCACAGTAGACTCATGTTCTAACTATAACCCCCTAGCTACTCTAGAGTGCATACTACCTTATAGAGAGACAAGGCGGCTAAGACCAAGCCAACAAATGAATGCGGAAGGCGCCTACTGGGGTGGGGGGTCATGTGGGGCGGCGCTTGCCTGCGCCAAACCGGGAATTAGTCGTTGCTGTTTCGACCGATCGTTTTTTAAATCCATCCCTCTGTGCTTGACGCTCGATCTCTTTACCACGCAACAATTCCTCCCCATGAGTCTTAATCACTTGCTCTCAATCTTCTCACCGTGCAAGCCATTATATATCCTCGTCGTTCGGTTCCCCGCCTCTTCTCCCAAGAAAAGTACTGTCGAAGACTCCTTGTTGGGATAATGGACCCTCCCACACCCTCATCTGAACCCCCCAAGGATCGAGAGCAATGGCGCTTCCACGAATTGAATGATCCCGAAGAGTGGATTGAAGACTATCGACCAGGAAAGCTTCATCCGGTGCATTATGGGGATACCTTCAAGGGCGCCCAGTACCAAGTGATTCGCAAACTGGGCTATGGCTCCTTCTCCACTGTCTGGTTGGCGAAAGACAAGCAGTATGTTGCCTTCGCCCCCCAGTTGATCCTCCACAGTCTAACTAGATGATCAAGAAACCATCGCCATGTTGCCCTGAAAATTCCGGTGGCAGGCTCTACAGCAGGACAACATGAGCTTGCTATTCTGCAGCAGTTATCCCAGTCAGCCTCAACCCACCCCGGAAGGAAGCACATCACACACATCTTAGACCACTTCCAGCACATAGGCCCAAATGGAACTCACTGTTGTATGGTGTTTGATATTATGGGCCCCAGTACGGCAAGTGCTCTGTTCAAACTGCGCCAATTCAAGCAAGATGGAATAGAATTGCCAGGCGGGGTGGGACCATGGATTTATACCAACAGGTTTCCACTATGGATGGCCAAGTCCATCCTTCGTCAGGCCTTGCTAGGGATCGACTTTCTGCACCAGAATGGTATTGCCCATGGAGATATCCAACCCGGAAACCTCTTATTCTCCCTTAAGGACTTGAATGCTATTCCAGAGAGTCAATTGGCCTGGAAAATCAAGTCAAAGCCAGTCCAGCGCCTAGACGGCAAGCCTGATCAGTGGGCGCCGCAGTACCTTGCTCAGAGTCGCTCATTGACTGAATATGTTGATTGGAGTGAGAGTTTGATGATTAGAATATCGGACTTTGGTGGAGGTATCTTTCTACTCTATCTATAAGATTATATTCTGTGTCTGTTTGCTAATAATGTGGCAAGCCTTTCCTTTCTCTGACCCACCAGTCAAATCAATTACTCCCGTCAGTCTACGCAGTCCCGAACTCGTTTTTGCGAATATTGTCAACAAGGACCAAGATCTGTGGAGTCTTGGCTGTCTGGTTTTTGAAATAGTCACCGGCAAGGCTCTTTTTGCCGTTGACTCCTTTGGCCCGGACGAAGAGACGGACGACGACCACCTTATTCAATTCAACGACATCCTAGGCCCGCTCCCAAGTCACCTGCTGGCCCAATATCCTCGCGCTCACATATATTGCAACGACAAGGGTGAAGTGACTCGGCGGTATATCGAAGAACTGGAGGATGATGAATCTGATAGTGACTACCCTCCCTTGCCTTGCTTGGAGGAGCAGTTTGACAAGGCGAAGCCGCCTGAAATGGGAGATGAGGAAGCGCAGGTTATCAAAGTCCTCCTACGACAAATGCTCAACTATGACGCTGCTAAGCGGCCTTCGTCAGGAGAACTTTTACGACACCCATGGTTCAATTAGAGAGATGAGCTTTCTTTGATAGTCATGACTCTGGAGAAGATGTATGTGCAACACCAATATATTGAGGTATTGAAGCGCCTGGTAGAGCCATCCAATTATCTAAATCTGGTAAAGACTTTTTCTAATAATACCTGTGTACTTAATTAACATGAAGTCGGCCCTAGAGCATAAATATCCCACATAGAGCACTGTTTAAAGCCATCTAGATATACATAAAGAACTTTCTTAATAGGTTCGATTTATTACTGTCAAGACATACTGATATTCACACTATTGTATGCTACAAGCATCAAACCCTAATCAATACTATTTACTATAAATGGTTAAGATGAAACTCCTACCAAACGCAGAGAGAAAAGGAAACTGTCAAGTAGAACCCTAAGGCCATAGAAGGCGCTTCTGCCATGCATTCCCATCCTCCCCGTGCACATACTCGAGGCGATGGTGCAGTCGACTGGCGTCACCCTGCCAGAACTCGACGACCCGGGGGGTCACGGCGTACACGCGCCATGCCTCTACACCCAACAGAGGGTCGTCCATCATTGCAGCCGCTGTCTGTGCACGGCGATGGCCCAGCACTTCCCGGTTAGCAAGAGGCCTGCTCTGTTGCGAGGCTGCGGCCGTCACGCGTGCTGCCAGTGGGCGTGCCTGGTAGTCCTGCGCGCTCTCATCGGCCGGTAACGCAGTGGCGCGCCCTCTGACGCGGATCTGTCGAGCCAGCTGAGGCCAATAGAACGTCAGCGCTGCGTGTTGATTGCATGAGAGCTGGATCCCCTTGGGGCTGTCGGCTTTGATGGCAAAATGCCAGCCACGCGAGTCGACATGCTTTAGGATCAAAACCCGCGCGTCGGGAGCGCCATCAGCATCTACCGTGGACAGCGTCATAGCATGCGGTTCACGGACACCTGCGGCAACCGCGTTGTGGAACCAGAGCTTGAAGGCATCGTGGGGAGTATCGGGGAATGCGTCAAAGTCGAGATCAGGGAAGGGGCCTTGCAGGACGGGAGTATTTCGGAGTTGGTCTTTGAAGGAATTATTAGACATCATGTTATTGCATGACTTGATACAGTTGACGTCAAGTGTCATTATTAATATGGTGAATGATTCTGCTTATATCTGGCGTATGACTCATATTATAGACATGTTATGAAACGGGGCGCTAAACTACAGGGAGCAGAGTATATAGGTACTCTAGGTATATAGTATTTATGTAGTTAACTAAATAGTTCTGGACATATCATGCTCGAGTCTGATACCCTCTGGATCAAAAGCACAAAGATTATCAATATGATAGTGATTTTCTATTATTTACAGCCTAATGAGGGCGGGGGTGGGGCTGAGCAACAATATAGGATATGCTGGGGTTTGATAAATATTTTAGACAAACTATTATACTTCATGGTCTCTCTTATCATTGAATCTGTTCTTCCACTATAGATATCAATCCACTCAGTATTGATATAGTCCAAAAAATGATACTTGAGTATACTTTATATAAGCAGTGAAATGTCGACCCTGATGGATTTAGTGACCCCTTCCTTCCCTTCTAGAGGGCAATTTTCTGCCATATATGTTAGGCATCAAAAGACTTCTTGAGAGCCATATGATTCTTATATTTAGTAATGACTCTATCTCAATGTGTATGCTCATTACTATGGGCCCTCATTAATTATCTATAATTCCTATATTCCTGCATTCCTGCATTCCCATGATGAATCCTTTATTGAATACTATGATACTCTCCAGAGTAGACTAATAAAGCTTAATGAATTCTACAGTATTATTGCCTTAATGGTTAGATTATATAATAAGGAAACTGTATAAAGTGTCACTTCTGTCTAAACACTACTATAAATATAAAGCTTCCTACTAGTCATCAATCTCAGCATACTCTGTTCCTTCACTGCTCTCTATATTGATCCTAGTATGGATGATGGCCTAGCTGTTTACTGGTTTGTCTAGGAATGATATTGTGCTCAATCACCTGGGTCAGTTCGAGCCACCTAAGTTGCTGTTGGTCAGGTTTGATTACCCTGCAAGATCCAACGAGTTTACTCGTCCAGCAGTGTATAAACTTATGATTGTGACGCCATGTATCAATCCTTCTGCCGATATTTTCCCGCATTATGCGGGGTATTGCGGGGGAATATATAGAATGATATTGCCGCATGGAAAGAAGCACCAGATGGCCAGCAATGATGATCAGTTGTTATTGTGAATAATTCTAGACAGCAAGCAAACCTCCTCTGTTCCAACATGAAAGGTTCCAGGGGCTGGCGGCAGTGGATGCTGGCCTTGGTCTTTCCAGGCCTCATCATAGCCCGGCCGGTAAGTGGCATCTTGTCCCTATAGTTTCTCTCTCCCTCACTCTAAACCCCAACTCTAGGCATCCTCCTCGCTTGGAGCAACGTCAATTTCATATTATCCCCAAGCCACCATGGCGGCAGACAAGGCCCTCCCAGTGCTTGCCAACGTGGACGATCCCAGCGCCGTTGACGCCCAGGATGTGTGTCCTGGCTACAAGGCAACCAATGTCCAGACCACTGAGGACGGCCTAACTGCCGATCTGGTTCTCGCCGGCGAGGCCTGCAACGCCTATGGCATCGACATCCCCGCCCTGAACCTCATGGTCGAGTATCAGGCCGACAGCCGGCTACACGTTCAGATCCTGCCCAGTGTGCTCACAGCTGCCAACGCCAGTTACTACACGCTCTCGCCCGATCTAGTGCTCGAGGGCCTCTTGGAGCCCGGCTCTCACGCCCACAAGGAGCTGAGCTTCCAATGGAGTAATGAGCCGAGCTTTTCGTTCAACGTAACGCGTGTGTCGAATGGCGATGTCCTCTTCTCCACCACAGGCTCCCAGCTGGTCTACGAAAACCAGTTCCTGGAGATTGTGACCAGCCTCCCCGCGGAATACAACCTGTACGGTCTAGGCGAGGTGATCCATAGTCTGCGGCTGGGGAACAACCTCACCCGCACCCTGTGGGCTGCCAATGCCGGCAATACCATCGACATCAACACGTACGGCAGCCATCCGATCTACATGGAGACTCGCTACGACACAGCGCACGGAGAGAACCGCTCCCACTCTCACGGGGTGTTTCTCCGCAACGCTCATGGTCAAGACGTCCTGCTGCGCGAGGAGAAGCTCACCTGGCGCGCGCTGGGCGGCAGTCTGGACCTGTACTTCTTCTCGGGGCCCTCCCCCGTCGAGGTGATCCAGCAGTACCAGGTTGTGGTCGGACTGCCGGCCATGCAGCGTTACCACACGCTGGGCCTGCACCAGTGTCGATGGGGATACGCCAACTGGTCAGTCGTGCAGGAGGTGATCGACAACTACGCCCGCTTCAACATCCCGCTGGAGAACATGTGGAATGACATCGACTACATGGCCTTTTACCGTGACTTTGACAACGACCCGGTGCGATTCGGGTACAGCGAGGGCCGGAAGCTGATCGACTCCCTGCACGCGAATGGCCAGTACTATATCCCCATTGTCGACCCGGGGATCTATGTGCCGAACCCCTTCAACGCCAGCGATGCCTATGAGCCTTTTACAAGGGGAAACGAGAGCAACGCGTTCCTCAGCAATCCAGACGGCAGCCTGTTCATCGGCGCTGTTTGGCCTGGCTATACTGCGTTCCCCGACTGGCTGGATTCCTCGGCGAGGGAGTGGTGGGCGTACGAGTTGCAGGCCTGGCATGACAAGCTGCCCTGGGATGGCAGCTGGCTTGATATGTCGGAGGGTAATCTATCGCCCATTACTGTTGGTGTGATAATGCACTGCTAATGTCTGAATAGCTGCCTCTGACTGTGCTGGAAGCTGTGGTTCGGGAAATCTTCATCTGCAGCCCATCATCACCCAGACTGGACTCCCCGGCTCCGGTAAGCTGATGGTTAGCGATATACTTGTATCTTACTGACAGCTCAGCTGGCAATCTTGTCCTCGAGTACCCCGAGGAATTCAACCTCACCAACGCCACCGAGGCGGCCGTGGCGGCCTCTCAATCGGCCAGTGAGTTGGCAGCCGAATCAGCAACTGCCACAGCGTCCACCAGTACATCCACGACATATGTCCAATCCACCCCCAACGTCGTCCGCGATGTCGAGTACCCTCCCTATGTCATCAACAACGGCCACGGCGCGTTGTCCGAGGGCGCCATTGCCACCAACGCCACGCACCATGATGGAACGCTCGAGTATGATATCCACAACCTGTTCGGCCTGGGCGAGGCGCAGACAACCTATTTCGCCCATCTCGCCATGGAACCCAACCGACGGCCCTTCCTCATCACCCGCAGCACCTTTGCTGGCTCTGGGCGCTATACCGGCCACTGGGGGGGCGACAACAACAGTCGCTGGGGATCGATGTGGTTTGCCATTCCGCAGGCTTTATCTTTCCAGCTTTTTGGTATCCCGATGTTTGGCGTGTACGTTCTCTGCCTCTTTCGAACCCATATCTACGGTATACTCCTAACAAGGTGTTGCATAGAGATACGTGTGGCTTCATGGGAAATACAGACGAAGAGCTCTGCAACAGATGGATGCAACTGTCGGCCTTCTTCCCCTTCTACCGGAACCACAACGTGCTGGGCGCCATCCCGCAAGAGCCCTACAACTGGGCGTCTGTCATCGAGGCAACCATCACAGCCCAAAAGGTCCGCTTCGCCCTCCTCCCATACCTTTACACGCTTCTCTACCAGGCTCACGCCACCGGTTCCCCCGTGATGCGTGCCCTGGCGTGGAACTTCCCCAATGACCCGCGTCTTGCCGACGCAGACACCCAATTCTTCCTTGGCGATGCTATTCTCGTCATTCCCGTGCTGGAGGTTGGCGTCAGCACCGTGGACGGTGTCTTCCCCGGCTTGGTCGAGGGCACAGACCTGTACTATGACTGGTACAGCCAGAGCAAAGTCGATGTTCCGTCCACCTGGAACATCACCATCAGTGCCCCATTGGGACATATTCCCGTTTACATTCACGGGGGGAATGTTCTCGCCGTACAGGACTATGCCATGACGACGCGCGCCGCACGACAGACCCCCTGGTCAATCATCGTGGCGTTGGATATTAACCAGACCGCCGAGGGGTATCTGTATCTGGATGATGGTGAATCTCTCGTTGGCGATACCAAGAGCGTCTACTTTACTGCTGATAAAAGTTCCCTGTCTGTAAGTGTGGAAGGGGACTTTATCGACTCCAACGGCCTTGACACAATCACGATTCTGGGACTGGACAGTGTCCCCGACGGTTCAGTCAGAGTGGATGGTCACATCCAGGACGCGAATATCACCTGGAATGATACAAATAATGCCGCTGTCATTGGGGTTTCGTTGGAAAGTGCATTTCAGTCTAGCTGGACCATCACATGGGATTAAACATTGACTAGGTAATTTGTCTTTGTTTATTATATCTATGTTTGTCATCTTATAATCATCAACTCGGCTGGATAGTAAAAACCATCAGTAACAAATACCAATGAATTCCTGCCACGTTACATAGATGCGATGAAGTAATAATATGCAACCGCCAAGTCCATAACGTAATAGATCCGCATATCCGCGGGCTATATCCGTATATCCGCCGCCCAAACACGAGTCTTACTTTTTGCTAGTACATTCTAGGCCTAGTTCACGCCACACATCGTCGATCTTCTAAAAACTATAGGAGCTCATGATAATCTCTATTCAACAAAAATATGCTTCATGAATGGGATTATCTGAATCTTAAAGGTTGGATTGATAGCCACTATCCAGATACTGGATTCTTATAAGATATTTAAACATATTGAAAGCTAGAGACCCCATGGCGAGGCCCATTGCCTCTCATGTCTTGGACCATGAAGGTGATCACTGAGGTCTCATATCCCATACACCATTTCATTTTCAATTCCCATTCAGGACTCTACTTGAAGAAGAGGAAGAATGATATATAGATTGAAGCCGGCAAAACCATTAACACCGACTATGTTCGGCATCCCGCAACGGGAAAATCCACGTCTCCACTCAGGTTCCCCGAGGGAAAGAGTTTTTCTTGGCTCAATCCAAGAAGCAAAATTATGCGAAAGTTACAGTAAAGTCAATGCTGGCATAGTCAGTTTTGCTCCTGTCCAACAGCAAAGCTTCAATTCCATTCCCGGAAGTGTCGACCTGTAGAATCGGGTTGAGTAGAAGCCAGGTCCGGCCACTATGAGCGACGAAGAGTCATACCCCGTTGACCGGAAGGCCGTGATCGACGGGCCTCTTGAAAAGGATGGCAAGAAAGCCTTGTCCACCAAGGAGCTGGAGCCCTTTGGCAATGAGGAAACCGCAGAGGTCAAGTACCGGACCATGAAGTGGTGGTGAGTAGCCAATCTTCAGAATTGACATGGTTCGCAGATTATCAGGGCTGACAAACCACCTCTAGGCACTGCGGCATGCGTGAGTATTGGCCATCTATCTGGCAACAATACCGAGTTCCTTTAAGGCTTCTAACAGATGGCAGTGATGATTGCTGAAAATGTCTCGGTGGGAATTCTCTCTCTCCCGTCTGCAGTGGCTACACTTGGAATGGTGCCGTATGTATCATCTTCCAATTCCCTCAAATTATTCCTAACTAATATCGAAACCAGTGCTGCCATTGTGATTTTGTTTGTGTCTGCTCTCTCATGGTATACGGGCTACGAAATTGGCCAGTATAAGCTTCGTCACCCCGAGATTCACAGCATGGGAGACGCCGGAGAACTCCTGATGGGTCCCATTGGCCGTGAAATCCTCGGACTTGGCCAGCTCCTCTTCCTGATCTTCCTGATGGCCAGCAACATCTTGACATTTAACATCTTGATGAATGTGCTCACTGGACACGGAGCCTGCACTTTGGTCTTTAGTGTTGTTGGTCTGATCATCTGCTTCCTTGGCGCCCTCCCTCGGACAATGGACAAGGTCTATATCATGTCTGTCGTTTGTGAGTGAAATGAAGCCTAAAACCTGTTTCGAATGTACTAACTGATATCGTCTAGCCTTTGTGAGTGTCTTTACTGCCACTCTGGTGACGATGATTGCTGCGGGTGTCGAGAGCAAGGGCCATATCACAATCCATGCTACCACCGATGTCAGCTTCCGCGACGGTTTTCTGGCAGTAACAAACATCATCTTTGCCTATCGTATGTTAAACAAGACTTTTCCCCTTCTTTTCCCCCTCATTAATTTAATATTCCAGTCGCCCATGTTGCCTACTTTGGTTTCATGTCCGAGACCGAGGACCCCCGGACTTTCAACAAGTCGCTTGCGATGCTTCAGATCATTGACACAGTCCTCTACCTCGTCAGTGCTCTCATCATTTATCGCTATGTTGGACCGAATGTCTCGTCGCCTGCCATCTCGTCCCTGAGTCCACTGATGAGCAAGATCGCCTGGGGCCTTGCTATCCCGACAGTAAGTCAATCATCTTTCAGTCTTCCTTGCTGTCCGTATATCGATACTAACTCAATAGACTATCCTGTCGGGTGTCGTCTTGGGTCATGTCGCGTGCAAGTACATTTATGTGCGCCTGTTCCGTGGCTCAGACAAGATGCACACCCGCAGTCTGTTATCCATTGGAACCTGGGTCGCCATTTGTATTGGCGTGTGGGTTGTATCATGGGTTGTGGCAGAATCCATTCCTGTGTTCAATGACCTACTGAGTCTTATTGTAAGTCCTGGACGGGCCCTATTCCTTTCTCTGGGGATACGAATATCGGCTAACTTCAACCTTTAGAGTGCATTGTTTGGCAGCTGGTTCAGCTGTATGTCAATCCAAATCCCCAATATCCCAGCTGATATCGATGCTAATGTGCGGAATAGTTGGCCTTCCTGCCATTTTCTGGTTCCACATGAACAGAGGCCGATACTTCAAGACCTTCCAGAAGACATGCATGACGATTGTTAATATTGGTGTCCTGGCATGCGCCATTGCTATTGTGAGTTTCCCGTCCTCCTTGTATTTCAATGCTGACTGTCATTTCAAGTGCGTCTTGGGTCTGTATGTGTCTGGAGTTGCCATTCACAACGACGCCGCCTCCAGCAGCTGGTCTTGCGCCAACGATGCGTGATTCTTGAGTAGCCTGGATGATGCCTAAACGGCCTTGATCATATTTGACTGGCCTTGTAAACTATTCAACCTAGTATATAGTATGACTAGATAAAACTGGGAGATGATAGACGGGAGAAGTTTTCATAGAATAAATTAATTCTTTTTTGACACCAACCTTTTCTATTAAAGTTGATAAAGCCTGACTATGCCTAGCTTTCCAGCTCAATGATGCCACACATCCAACACACGCATTTTCTACAGATGCAATGCCTGAAAAACAAAGTCAGCAAGATCTTTACGGCTGATATAAGGAATGTGGGGATGAATGCGGGGTACCTGGTCTCCTAGACAGCTCATGGCATTAGCTAATGTTGAGGATATACGGAGTAAGGGCTCAAGCATTGAATAGATGTATTCTTAGATACATGATCGGCAGCACTGAGGATATTAGCCACGTCAGCATCAGGTCCACTTTGAGGTTGAATAGTATAGAGCCATTCTTTAATGCTCAGCATAGAGTATAATTTTATATTATTATAGGAAAACAGACCACCCAGCTTCTGAAGAGTTTCTAAATAGTAATTAGCACTTCAAATTATCATTGATAAGAAAGTCATCCTTTAGATCAACTGTAGAGGACACCACGTACTTAGGCTTAGCACCACACATTGCCTTTCCTCGGCTCCCCGCGTCTAGGATAGCTCCATCTTTCCACCCACCACTCATCCAGGGGCATCGCCCATTCTCATATTCTTTATAAATCACATTTCCTTGATCTGGACTCAAACTACTTTAACACCATGATTATCATTTTTACGTAGTACCTACCCAAATAGTCGATTATAAAGAGCTGAGTCATGGATTCTCTGTCATACACTTAGGGTCGTGGCCAAGCGAATGCTCCATGAACTCCTTTGACTGGCTATGACTCTTCCTGGCACGCTAGTTCGTTCCGAGTAATTGCGATGCTATTTCGTCTTTAATTGTCTATTTATCTCCCCCACAGTTGGCTGGTTCAAACGTAGTCAGATAAATCTTGCTATCCCCCCCCCTGAGACCAAGTCGTGCTGGATCCGACACCATGAGCTTTCCCTTCCATATCACCGAACATGTCATTGATGCAGCGTACATTCGAGACAATGCTCGTGCTACAGCTACCCCGGATGCCCCCTTGAAACTATGTGTTAAACAATATTCTCCCATCGATAACCTGGACCCCCGACCGGGCGATGTGACCGTTGTTGCCGCTAATGGCATTGGATTTCCCAAGGTATGCTTGCCTCTTCTCTCTGATGTAGAAACTGGCGAGTAACCGCAGACCAGGAGGTATACGAGCCTCTGTGGGAAGAACTCCTGGCGAGATCCAAGAAAGATGGCTTCCGTATTCGCGCAATCTGGATGGCCGACCCAGTGAACCAAGGCGCCAGTGGCATTCTCAATGAACAACATCTCGGAAACGACTGTAGGTAAAGATTGAGAAAAAAAAAAGCCCCAGTAGACAAAACTGACAAGTTCAGGGACCTGGAGTGATAACAGCCGCGATATTCTTCATATGGTATCCCATTTCCGCACAGAGATGCCCCGGCCAATACTGGGTATCGGCCATAGCGCAGGCGCAGGCGCACTGTCAGTCATTACTTGAGACCACGCTCACGTATGGAAAAGGACCTTAATACTGACACATTTTCACCCGGCAGCATCCTCGCGTCTCTCTTCCATCCAAGCCTCTTCTCCTCACTGCTACTGATTGAGCCCTGGATCACCGACCAGCCCGGAACACCTGAGGCGTTTTTGCTGCTCGTCATGGCGACCCAAAGGCGCGATACCTGGCGCTCGCGTGCAGAAGCTACTGAGAAGTTGCGCAGGAATCTCCGTAACTGGGACCCGCGCGCATTCCAACGCTGGACAGAATTCGTGTTCCGTGAGCTGCCTACGGCGATTTATCCATCGCCACCTGCGCAGCCCGGAGCTGTGACGTTGGCAACAACGAAGCATCAAGAGGTCATGTCGCTTACATACATCAATCCGCGGAAACAAACCATAGTCCAGTTCCCCGGCGAAGAAAGTGAAGAAAACAGAGCAAAGCAGAAGGCGCTGGTTCCCGGGAGACAGGGGTATCGGACTGAATCCATCGCGGCCTTCAAATTGATGCCGCATCTGGGGCCGTCCACGCTTTTGATCAGTGGGTCGCAGAGTCCGCTCTATAAGTCAGGAAAGCATACAGATGCGGCAAAGATAGCTGGGACAGGGTTTGGAGGAAATGGCGGGATGGCTTCTGGCCGTGTCCGTCACGTTGCTATTGATAAGGGGACTCATAGTCTTCCAATGGAGGAAGTTGAGGCCACTGCAGAGGCGATGGGGCCTTGGATTCAACAAGAGATGCAACGGTGGAAGCAGGATGAGGCTCAGCTGGCGCAGGATTGGGTTGCTCTCTCTACTCAAGAGAAGCTGACCTTTCCTTCGGAGTGGATTCAAATGTTAGAAATCCTCAAAGCAAAGATATAGACGCAGAATACTAGTAATATTGATAGCACGCAAGTGACTACCTTCTCATTCTCAAGGTCTTCCACTGCAATGCCAATGGATTCCTGATGGCTGCTCCCCCCTGGTGGACTCGTGCCCGTGGTCGACGGTTCAGCCCCGTAGCAGCTGGCGATGTCTTCTGCCGCACTCTGGATCAACTGGTCAAGGCCGGTTGTGACGTTAAACACGATTTCAGCACCAAGGCCGGAGGGGGGCAGAGAATCATAAGTCACGGAGGAGATGGCGAGACAGCCAGATGAATTGGTGGCATTCTACTAGTTAGTGATCAGTCTTCAAGATTGGGTGTATAAGCAATTCACTGTAGGTCCTGTCTGGCATATTTGGAGGATGGCAAGCCAGTTGGCGGTAACAGCCAAGCAGTTCGCGCTCTGGCTGAGTGCATTTGCGTCGGAACTGAGTGTGTTTGCGTCGTTGGAGGGAGTATTCGATGCACCCGCGACCTTCCACGCCAATATCGAAAATGCGCCGAATAGTGCTGCCAGAACTATGGCAAGTAACTCAAGGATTGCATTGGTGACAACCTCGGTCGCAAGTGGTTTGCTTTTTGCTGATACCTGCGTCTGGATCTGGATCAGTTGGTCGAGTCTTAGGACAAGCTCGCTGTCTTTGACTCCCTTTTCGGGGATGTCGGATGTGGAAGTAGATCGGTCCATAGTAGAGAACAATAAGAATATGGTAATAGTCAACCCCCGAGATCAATCATAAGGCTATTTCTCATCTACTCTCCAGTACAGGCAAGGCTGAGGCAAGGTTGACTGCAATACGAGGCGGCTTGTGGCAGCGCACAGGAAATTCGCTCGTTGCTGTCCTATCATCAGACTTCTTTATTGGAATTATTGAAATAAATTAGCTGGAAGAATAATACTTAACTATTATAGAAGATTAATAAATATTAAGGGCAGTTCTTACAACATATTTAAAATAGCTAACCAACTGTAGATATGTAGCACTAACCATATACTTAATATTATAGTAGCCAAACCGGAAAATTGCTCCCATCCTGATATTCATAATAATCAAGATAAAGTGAGGAATATAACTATTTATTATTTAGGTACGATTAAAAGTCTTGAAATATTATATGTCTACTAATACAAATCTCCAATGGAATCATCGATTTATTAACCCTAACCCTAAACCCTAAGGAATATCTTCAATTGCCATTTCTACTAAAACGGGTTTGTTGCATTCCACTCTGCAAAGCCCTCGCTCGGATCCAAGATCAACGAGGGATTCATCACCGCCGGCGTCCTCTCGTCCAACTCTCCGTTCCAGCAGTACCGCTCGAAGCAGCGAGTGCACTGATGCGTCCGTTGCATGCCCACACGAGCGAGGCTCCTCTCCACCACTGCACAGCCAATGCACTCGGCCCATTCTGCATCCCACGTCCCATTGCCCTGTGTGACAATATTGAAGCTGTTCTCGAAGATCTCCTGCATCTGCTCGCGGCTGGTGGCGGATTGCGTGAAGGAATAGTTTGTATACGCGCTGTACGGCGCGTTGGCCATGTACATCACGATTGGAGCCCGCTCGTCACCCGTCGTGGTCCTGCTCGCATTGCAGCCAAAGAAGGCCGGGTGGGTGGTGTAATTCATGTTCATCAGCGTGTTGACCGGCGGGATCACCGGGAAGGGAAGCCCCGTCGCGTTGGCGGCCCTGTAGGTGTTGTACAGGTTGGTCCCGTTGTTCCAGGAATACGGCGACGCATCCTGGGAGTCATCCCAGGCGAAGATGAAGTCGACGTTGCGCGCGGGCTGGATCTGGCCCCAGAAGGGGATTGTCTGGCCGGTCTCAGACCCATCTACCAGGGTGAGCTCGGGGGCAGTGTGTGCCACCCCGGATGAGAGGGAGAGGTTGGCAAAAGGGTTCGGGTAGACCGCGTATGCGCTCTGGGTGAGGTTCAATCCAAAGACCTCTTCAAAGCCCTCGATGATGCCGTCGAGATCACTGAGAGTGACGGCCCGCTTGGCAAACTGCCCGAGAGTGTCGTTGGAAACGGCCTCAAGATACCAGAAGTTGAAAGCATCGGCGGAAGACCCGATAATAAGGCTGTCCCGGTCGAATCCACGGACGCACACGCTGTCGTTCACAGGCTGGCCGTTGGATAACCGGTTGCCCAGCCATTCTGTGGGTGTGAAGGCCCGGACGGATCCCTCCCAAGCCCCAAACTCAAAGGGCGTCACATCGAACTATTCAAGAGATGAGCATATACCCATATGGAGATGTATATGTGCTTTATGGAAGAGTATGTTACCAAGGAGCGATTTGCCTGCGGTACCCAGAGGCCGTCGTATTCCAGATCGCCTGAGCCGACTTCAGCTAGATGGATGATCGGCATTGGCATCTCGTGGCTCAGGAACTTGCTCAATTGTCGAATCCCCGAATACGTAGTGTTGAGGCCGCCCTCCTCGCCGGGGATGAACTCGTACGCATAGGCACGCCCCAAGTAGTCAGACACCCCGACGTCGAATCCGGCCTCGAATTTGGTCGCAATCTGTTCAAACATGGTGACCTCGGTGGCGGCGTCAGCAGTGGTGTTCTCGACATTGTAGATCCGGTCGATCTCGGGCTTCCAGTAGTCGACGATCTCGTCGGCCGTCGGGAAGTTGTGAGCTGTAAATGACACAGTGGGCCATGATCCCCCGGACAACCCTGAGAGATAGGTTAAAGTCTGCAGGAGTCCGCCAGTGCGCTGCGTATTAGCTGCTGGGAGTCGCCCGTCGAAGGCCCGCATCGCCCCGGTGCCAGTAAACGCTGATCCAAACCCGCCGCCGCTGATGGCCATGCCTATAATCGGCACATGGGCCTGATGGGAGTCGTTCAGGCGAGCGATGTATTCCCCCATATCGAAGTCAGCCAGCTCAAGACGCTCAAGATAAGTCCTCAGCGCCTCAAGCACAACTGGTTTCCTGCCTTGGACCCAGTCCGCCTCGGCCGGGTTGAGACCGACAGCTGGTCGGACCCATTGGAGGTCTGTTGGGCATGGGACTGGGATGGGGGCGTAGCCCTGAGGAAGCTCTTGGGCAGCAGAGAGTGCTGCTACAGCAGCGATGGATATGAATAGAGGCTGCATCATGAGAAATTTAGTGATCAAAGAACAGTGGTGCCCCAAACTGCATATTAAGACCAGTCTTTATATATATGGCGAAATGTCTCTATATATGCTCTGACTATATTGACATACTGCTTGCCTAAAAGTTCGGTGCAATTGCGCGCTGCATACCCAAAAAGGAAACCCTGGCCGCCTGGCTAATCATGTGCGAGTGATCAGCAAGTGGCGCAATATAATGTAGTAGCCTGTTTTTTTTTTTTTCAAATTTATTGTATGATTATGATCTCACTTTTGCTTACTTGTTTCCATCAATTTAAGATTATATAATTATTCCTTTGGGTGACAGTTTAGCTGTAGTACACTATAGTATTCATCTATTGCTCTCCTAAGATAAATCTTACCCAAGGTGGATATATAAGTAAAATGTAATACTTCAAGCAGTGTCTACTTTTGTTCTACTCTTATCACTAAAATCTTTCTAACTCAGCAAATTCTTGACTAAGTGATCTTATGTGTTCCCCTTCAAGTAGATTCAAAGAGCATTCTGGGCGTTAGCTTTAGGCAATCACTATGCTGTTTTAACAAGCCAAATACTAAATATGCAGCTTACTCCCCCAAAATTCTAACAGCTTGTGGAGCTGAGGTCAGCATAATTACTATCTAGGAAATAATAGTAAAAACTGTCTAATATTAAAGTGATTAATACATAAGGAATTATAAAATAGTACTCTCAAGGTTCACAACTTATTGTAAGCCACTATATGAAGATATATATATTAGTTTTTTCTTTTCTTTTTTAATTATCCTCTATTATTTCCTTAGCTGTACGCCATTAAGCGGCATACATATATATATATCCCTTATATTTATATCTACTCTATGGAAGAGTAATATTTTCACTACCTGTAGATGATCATTCCCTACAGCTGCACATAATGGCGGGTCTCATCTAGATGACATGATACCCGCGCGCCATTTTTTACAAGTAGATTAGCTACAGAATTACAATAATAATATGCGCCTACATGGAGTAGGCTGCATTAACCCCCATGTCGCCATCTATATTTACTTATGCACTAAGATCTAAGAGCATCTTAGTAGTAAATATATGGTTAGTTCATATCCGCCTTGAGGTTGATTATCCTTCTCACCCCTCTACTAGTTCTTTCTTGGCATAAAAGAGCAACGCTGAGCCTCCATGACACTCTAGGTTATGTTTATAAAGGTATAGTACTAGGAGGTCTTTGAAGTGGCGGTTAGTTTAGGAAAGGGAAAATAAATCAGCATCCTCAGTTAGTTATGAAGTAATCTGCACCAATATCTCATTTAGAAACAGTAGCATTTATATGGATAGTAGTGATCGAGATACATGGATTATATACTAGAGATGGATGGAATGTGGATTTGGACGCAAGATAGAGTCTAAGCCGTACTCGGCAAGGGTATCTTTTTAAGTTGTACCTATCATCTGCTGTGGGCTAGGCCCAGGACTAGCAACTAGCTGAAACACGCAGACAACGCCATGTGCACAGTATAGAGCGCTTATGGCTAAATAGGCCGAGATATGTCTTATTTTACTGGAACCCAAACCTCTCCTTCTTCCGGCTAAACCAGGTGTCTCTGCAGTCTTCCTTATACCTAAATAATATTAATGGCAATCATAGATTTATAAAAGTCTACAACTACAAAGCTATAATTAATACTAGATTTCATTCATTATAAAGTTCTTTTATTTTAGTATGAAAATTTATATATTGGCATAGAGTGAATCCTTAAAACAATACTACTTCTCCTAGTGACTTTTAATCACTGGATGCTCATAAAGGGCATAAATAGGCTATGAGTGTAGTATATGCTAAACCCCGCCTTGCTCTGCAGTGGCATCCAGCATATAGGGTCCACATTAGATAGCACTTAGACATTATCACGTGCAAACCTAGGATAGCACACATTGACATCGACAGGGACCTCGGCGGTGATGGTGGAACCAAAGGGGCTATAGGCGTGAGAGATTCGGCTCGGCACATTGATTATGACTCTCTGGAAATACAGGAACAAAGAGAACGGTCCAACGTGTCCAGGCTGATGCAGATACATATGTTTACAGTAAATAAAGTATAGAAATATTTTTGATGGAGTAAAAGAATTGTAATAATGCATTACAATCCTCATCATGATACTATTACTAGCTTGGTAAAATAGTAGAATAATTGATCCAGGATATAATGGGAATATCCTATGATATCCCACCAAAATTGTGATATCAAGTGCTAGTTATGTAGTGAAGTGAGCTGATCTAGCATTTTCTAGTTGAAGTAAATTTAAAGCTAATATTTAATATATCTAGTGCGCCGAAAATTTCGCCGAGAAGGAGGTTTTTCCTAATTTGGCTTGATTCGTCATCTTCGTCATCAAGGGCAGTGATGATACAAATTCAATGAATGAGATGAGTACCTGATATAAAAGGCCGCTGTGACTGCCCGAAGCATTCTCATCGCACGCTCTATCCTGAATTGAATTGCAGAAACATGGCGCTCTCCGTCCTCCTTTTCTTGCTCCCTCTCTCTGCCATGGCAGTCCCTTCTCCATCACGGACCCTAAACAAAAGATCTGTGACCTGTCTTGATGTTGGCAATCAGGCCACCGCGTCCTGGACCAATGCTGCAGGGGAGAGTTGCACCTTTGTCGGAACCGTTGGGAGCAACTACGGGACCAATAGTGATGACGAGGGAGAGTATGTTATCCTTCCTCGCCTGCTTATACTAGATAGCTAATACGTCCAGCTACTCATGCAATGGTCGCTGTGGGGAAGGATGCACCGGATTTTCAATTGGCAACGTGTATACACAAGATTGCTTCTCCCACGACATCTGCTCATATTTTAACGACGCGACTGGGGGAGCGAGGTACTGTCCGGCTCAATTATATCACCTAAGATGGCAAACTAATTGGAATGCATAGTGATCCAAACTGTGGTGCCGCATACGTTGCTGCTGAAGATGATTTCTTGTTTGGATACATTGACGGATGCTCGCAAACGAATCCAACCGAAGCAGTGGTGAAGCCAACAACCACTCCAACATGCACATAGCCATCACAAGGATGGACCGCTAGAAAATCATTGAACCGGACGTTACTCGCCTTAGCTCTAGGATCTGGAGATGAGATAAACGATAGGTAGAGAAGCCCAACATACGAGCGATAATGATCCTCGAGACCACTACACTGGGGTTTGTTTCGATGAAAACGGAGATGGGAAGAGTGTGCATTTTCCAACCAAGGATTACCTTAGTCAGACGGAGCTTTCTCCACTTGTTGATATACAAAAGACGAGGGGCTTGAAGTTCAATATTGAGGTCCTAAGAGCGAAAATTGCACGTTGCCCGCGTCAAGAAGTAATATGATAATGTTCCACAATTAAACAATCCGATACTGAGCCCGAGATTCACACGCAAACCAGATCAAGGTGGATGAAACCATTTATCTTTCAAAAGTTGTTTTGCTGATGGTCTGTTTCGAGGATCTAGCTTCATTGCCCTCAGCACGAAGCTCTTGTCCTCTTCACAAATTTCTTGAGTGGTAGTGAGATGAAACGGCCGCAGGGTCTCAGGTGGGCTGCTCTGCATGACCCAGACGAGAACCGCCAGTCTTTGCTTGTCCACGATCTGTTCATATGACTCTGGAAATGGTCCGAAGCATCTATGATGCTTAAGAAGGATCTTAAGATCGTAGTCTTCATGGTCTGGAAGAACATCCAGCTTGAAAATATGAAGTCCATCTCTATAGAGGAGACTGATAATCTGTTTTATTGAATAGACATTAATCTTGAGTGCAGAAGATCTTCAGTTATAAAGGTCAAACTTGCCATTGCACCAAATGACCAAATATCTGTTACAGTACCCCATTTCATTTAAAGGTGTGCTTCTGGACTTCTAAAAATAGGCGTGCTAATGGGGTCACCACGCTGCGCATGAATAGAGTCGACGTAAACAGTGCTTCCAAAATCTGCTAATTGCATATCTGTAAAGCGGACATCTTGTTGACCACAGTTGACTAACACATTGCTGGGTTTAATGTCTAAAGTCATGCCCATCAGAAAGATTTAGATAGAAGAGAAATATGGAAAGATGGACCACACCAGTGTGTACAAAGCCTTCGTCATGTAAAACAGACAGTGCTTCTAGCACCCTTTTCGCGATCAACTTCACCTCTGGCCGAGTAAGGTGTTGTTTGTTCGATGCATTGAGAATATCATCATCTAGGTATCTCAGAATGAGAGTAGGAGGGACATCGGAGCCTTGAAGCTCTTCGATTAGGGGGCGAATAGTTAATGTTCGGTGTTGAAAACGAAGCAGAACGTCTCGTTCGTTTTGTAATCGAAAGTGTCTGACACTTTTCGCGATAACTTTCTCTTGAGACTCATTTCTGTAGTGGTTAGTTCATATAAACTATTATCCTTCATTACATCCGGATAATATCAAAGTATAAAGGTTCATACGGTGCAAGCCAGACACAGTCCTGCAGTTGTTTAATGACAGTGTACAGGCCCGATCGGCCTTTCAACGACTGGCCAAGAAATAATTTGGATACTATATTGGAATATTCATACAGATAGAGAAAATGCAGGATACTGAGGAAATAGAGGAAATAAGAGGGCAAGATGATAGAAAAATAGAGCCTAGGATGAATATGTCAGTATTGACCGGGAACCCAGTGGATTTGACACTGGGTCGAGAGACACCTTCCAAACTGGGCAATGATTGCAACCCTTTTTCAGAACCAGGTAGCCTGATTCTGAACAATGGCTCGGTGCTATAAGGCGAGATCCGGGAGAAGCATGGCGGCTGGAAGATGTCCCTCTACCTCGGCCCTTTCTTGCAGAATGACGACAAAAACCTTTCTGTGAGAGACGGTGTGTGCTGTCGACATTTGAAATGGTCTGATCTAGTTAACAGCTAATGTGTAGCTTGGAGATAGATGGTACAAAGTATTGCCTAGGAGGTAATAGCTAGAGAGATATTATCCGCTAAATTCAATGCCAATTTGATACTCGATTCGAATTGAAGCGAAATTCAGCCGACGATCCTATATAACTAGTCTATGACACATTATGACGATCCACTAGATGTCTGCCCATATATGAGCAGAGACATAAGCAGTTATAGACTCACACTCTGGCTGAGTAGTCAGTCATAATACATATTATCTACCTGTCTCCATGAGCTTTCACAAACGACACTTTCCCTGTGCGAATTTTCGCAACGGCACCCTCTTCAAGAACCGCGAGGGCCAGACGCTCCATGTCGCCAATTATACTGTCCGTCTTGACACGGTGCTCAAAGAGAGTCTCAGCGAGTACTGTGAGCAGTACTCAGTCGTCTTTGAGGGCCGTATTACTGCCGGCCCAGATCAGGTTGGCGACCATGTTATCATCAAACTAGGCTATGAGTGAGTATTGTTCGGCTTTTAGAACTTGGATATTAGTGGGTAACTGTCGTCTACAGGCTGCTCCTCCAGAGCTTTACAGCAGAAAGCCGGGAACTGCTGCTCGAGCGCGCCAAGGAGGTCTTCTGTAACGAGTGTCGCGCGATGCAGCAGCTGGAAGCTTTTGATATCCTCCCTAAACATATCGCGCACGCCGAGCTTATACAGAGCGCCACTGACCCGAAGCCTGGAGGCTCTTTATATGTGATTGTGCGGGCGTTCCGTGAAGGCAAGCAGCTTTTCACCCCCTATCGAAGACGCGTCCCCCTTGTTCTCTCGCCTGCACAAATGCAGTCTATCCGTCGCCAGTGGATTGCGACACATGAGTAGGTGATGTCAGAATAGATATAAGGGTCTTGGCTAAGAACGCAGGGCATGGCGCCAGATAGGCTGGGGGGGGTGCATGGAACTAGAGGACATTTTCTACAACCCTGAGACGGACAAAATGTAAGAGGAGATATTCAAGTAACTTGGCGAGATTTGCTTACCTTGATATGAGTAGATTCCTCCTAGGACTGAGCAGTATCATATGGGACGCATACATGATCAGTGGAAGACCATTAACATGGAAAGCATGTAACTTTGTCTTTATAAACCTGCCGGACAATTGGGAGGAGAATGAGTGGGAGGAGGAGGAAGATGAGGATTGATGAAATATTATATTCTAGTGCTCACTAGTCTAATACATTGCTTGTAGTAGTTTCTTATCTACCTTTGATCTCATTAGCAAAGTAACTCAAGTAAAACGTATCGTTCAAGTCAACTTTGAACACCGAAGCGTTTTATAGTGTAGAAGTCGAATTGCGCCATTAGAAATACGGGTTATCATATCAAGGGTCATGTCTATTGCCCTCCTGTCTGACTTTAAGGCTTCTTTACGCCTCGCAGGGGGTTCATATATATGGCCTAAGCTTTCATAGTACAAATGGCTGTAGGCATGCTCAATTCAGCTGATCTATAGGTACTTACTCTGGACCTATGGCCGCCGCGTATAGAGCCGGACAATTACTCCATCAATTGACGTGAAATTGTTGTCACAAATAATATTTCATTCCATAGGACTAGGACTTATAGTATGGATGATATAGTATAAGCAGTGACAGAACCAAGTACTCAGAGCTAACTTCATCTTACAACTCGGTCAAGTCATTTGCAGGAGGCTAAGTAATTAAATGTAATAATCAAGTATTGAGTTAAACAGTCATAAGTTCTGATTAACTAAAGTAGATTTTATAGAGCTCCTTAGATTGTTCAATCATATAGGATGCTTTTCTTTAAGAATGGTTGTTCTTGAGGTAGATAGCTTTCTTTATATGGAATGGCGCCCTAATTCTATTCACTGTTTAATTACTCTTTATTGCCCTTTCCTTCAATAGAGGCTTTTAGTCCCCTATCATTTACTTCTCACAACATGTGAATACAATGACTAGATAAAGAGATGATATTTAGTAGTTGTAATATATATTACACCACTCTTTCGCCTTACTGATTCTTTCCACCTCTTCCTTTCACCAGAACTTCCAACTATGTCATCCCCTTTTCTGGTATTCAACTAGTATATTCTCTGGTCCTGCCTGCCGGATCTCCAGATCGGCAGCAATAACCTTCCCCATGCAGCTAGGCAGGAAAAGCGGCTTCTCCATGAAACCCAGGTAACAGAATGGCCGAACCTTATGATATCGGTCCGCGCATATTCTGTTCGAGCGGAGGTTCTGGGAGCAGGCCCTCCAGTTGGTGGTGTGTCTATTCCTCCTCTCCGAGAAAAGTACGTGGTGGCCAATATGGCCAGCGTCACCGGACGCTGGATAAATACCATCGCGATGGAGATAAATAAAGTCACAGAGCTACTGGATTTGCCCCAGTTTACTGACTATCAGACCGGCAAAGATAACCCCATCGGTTGTAGCATTAATGCTTATCCAGACATAATCCTCGTGAAAAGGGGGATTACCACGGTCCTGGTAGGAGAATTCAAGACTCCCTGGTCCACTGACCTCAGCGACATCAACGGCAATACGGGCTTTCAGTAAGTGGGAGATTCTTATCCCATTCGCGTGGTCTGCAATAGTCAAATGCTAATTGGGCAAATGGGTCAGATCACAGGATACATGGCTGACTGCCGTTGTCGCTATGGGATATTATCTACTTGCAATTAGACCATCTGTATCTGCCGCGTCTTTGTTTTGCCTTTAAAGATCCCCAGCCCTCTATCATACCCAGGGCTCTCTTCCAGCCAGGGGTAATGCTCCGCCGCGCATTAGTGTCATAGAGGCCTTGCTATATATGGCATATCTGGGAGGCGGTGGCCAGCGCGATGCTTACTATCATGGCCCGAAGAAGCTTTATGCGAGTACAACCCTTGTTTTGACATTGACCTTGCTGACTGGCTATGCAGCGGCCAATGTAAGCATTCCTGGCCTTCCAGGGAACCGCGGAACAGACGATATGGCTCATTCTATTTCTTGCCAAGAAATGACGACGCAGATGTTTGATTGCCGTCCCATAGTGAAGTAGGATAAATAAGTTATGAGTGGTGCCTGGCAATTAAAACAATCCGAGCGCCACAGGCCCAGAAACGAATCATTTGTACTCGTGATAGAGGGAGTAAATGTAGTAATCTATAGTCCTGTGGCTTCTGGCCTCCTACCCCAAACAACATGGGCATTCACGTAGAGATGAAAACGAACGTCCTGAATCTCTTTGCGAACGGCAGCCAGAAAGACGGTGATCTCTGCCTGGTTCCATCCAAGCACTCGGGAGAATAGAGCTGTGCCATAGGAATCAAGCCCCATGGAAGTCGCCTCTTGGTTATATCGCCCCGCCTCCCTCAGAATAGGATCCGTCGGCCACGGGTTGTCAGGAAACTAGCGCTGTCAGCACGCAATGCCTCTTTTACAAAGGTAAAGGAAATGAAAGTGAACTACCCTGTAGATCCTTTCCTCCACATCAATAAAGCCAGCAGTTTTAAGCCTGTTTATGTGATTCCCTGCCACATCCATTGGGCGGTTAAACTTGGAGCTGGCCTCTTTCAAGTGCCTGAAGAATTCCATTGCGTGTGGTGCCTGTTGCTCCGGACTTCCATTTTCAGAATGAAGATCCATTGCAAAGTCCAAGAGCTCGATCCAGCCGCCAGGCTTCAGATGCTCGTATGTCTAGAATAGGAAGTAAGGGACCTTTTCGGCGTTCCAAATCACTCTTGTAGATAACTTACCTGCTGGAGAAGTTTGGCCCAGTCAGCAATAGCACCGCCAAGGTCGCAGGCACGAACAAAATCGAAAGATCCCTTCTTGAAGGTCCAGTCCGACTCGGCATCATCGACAAAGAACTCGATATTTGGAGGTATCCACACTGGTTGAATAGGGCTCAGATCAGTCCCTATCACCTTGGTGCTGGGGAATTCATCCGCGAAATCCATAGCCCAGATTCCTAATACAGATTCCTGTCAGTCTCAATGATAGATGGATGGGGGCTGTCCATGGAAATCTGACCTGTCCCTGTACCGATATCAAAAGCGGCCGAAATATCCTTCTTTAAAGGGGCATGGTAGAGCCTCCCCTGAAATAATAAGCTCCGGATGTGATGCAGAAGGTCCTCACGGTCCTGCTCCATCTCATCATTTGGGAGCACATATTGACCCTCTCTGTATGAATGATATCTCCTTCCATTTTCATATTTGTAGTTTTTGACCTCAGAAAGCAATGATGCCCCATAGGACGATTCGCTTCCAGCGCTCCCCACGGCCGAGTCCGCAGTAGGAGAGGGAGCAGGACTGAGATCGGCCTCGGCAGGAGGAGAACTGTGCGTGTTGCTCTGCTCGGGCGTGGATTCGACCATGTCGGGTACAAGATGAAGAAGGGCGTCTGGGGAAGCAAAAGAGATGTGGCGACGTCGCCCGCTTTTAAAACACTGGCTATCGACCCCGCCCATCAGCCCATCCCCCCTTGTATTCTGTTCCACCGTTCTGTGGTGATTCAAGGGCAGCAGGAGAGGCCATTGGTGAACTGTTAAGCTAAGCAAGGATTATTATGCGGCGCGAGTCAGGGCAAAACCAAAGTGGGTACAGACGATGCATTAGCAACGGAATGTGAATATCCGGAAGAAAACCGAGAGAAAGTACTTGCTAGTACTTTTGCCTTCTCTCCTAGTAATATAGAATCTAATCGATATTCCTGGTCCTTTCTTACAGGCCATTCGAGATGAGACAGACACACTCTATTCAAGACTACATCCTGTGGGAATTCTAGAAATAGCATACATATAGGAGAGAAGTAGATAAATTCTATTCCCAAACTTAACCCCACCTTTCATCCTTATCTCCCTCGGTCTATGCTGCCATGTGAGTAGTGGAACTTGTGGCGTCATATGAAGAGGAAATCAAGAAAGTACAATCAGCTCAGAAGAATCGGCTCTATCAGTAACACTCTTACATCAAGTAACTAGCTGATAGCTAGGCTTGAGGAACTGAGAATGGTAACAGAATCATCATAAGCAGATCAACAGATACTGAGAGCTTTAAATCTAGATGATGCTGTAATTGAGGACATCAAGCCAGGAAAGCCAAGGGAGAATGTATGGTTACTAGCTGTAGTGGCAGAGCCCATTTATAATTCATTATATTATTCAGCCCTCCAGTAGCCTCTTTTGCCACCTCATTATGCATAAGGTTTAACATGTGATGCTATAATATCAGCATAGGGGAAATAACCATGGTTCAGATAGTATAACTTTCACTATTTTACCCTATCGATAGTGATTATCCATAGTTTCTAGAATATATGAGGCGGTTTGGCAAAGCCACCGCCACAGAAAATGGCCAAGACCTCAAGAGACCTACACACCCTCCAGGGCACCATGTTATGTTGCCACAAGAGGGCAGTCGTGAGAGGCTACATGGGAAATGGCGTTTGTCGTTACGTGCCCTTCAACTGTTGTTGGCTATCCAGAACATGATCAGGCAGCTGTCATTCTAGATAGTAGAAAGTCGAGAATTACTCCCTGATTATACCTTCCATCAGACTAGTCGCCGAGAATTACATGTAATGTCTCAAGTTGTCATCCACCGCCACCATTTATCCAAGCATGTCCCTGGATCTAGGGGTTCAGGAGGGGTGTGAGAGCACCCTGTAGGATACCCGTTAGACGAGGAACAGCGAGGCATTGCTAAGCCGCTGTGGGGGTCGGATTTGCATCGTTGGGTTCACCAGGAATTGTATGGCAAGTCATCCAAATGGAATGGCTCTACCATCAGACGCAGTTGAGTCGGATTGCGACTGGCATACCGTTTGCGGGTGCAGGGGACTGTCTCTGCCGATCTGTTAGCAATGCTTTAGGCATCCCTGCTTGATAGAAGGAGCTCACCTAGATACCCTGGAACCGCAACGTCATCATCATTCTCACTGTTCTCACTCTCGATCAGCCGAGTGAGCTCAGACTTGTGTCTGGCAGGGCGTATGGTCGCCCTGGGGAAAGGACCGGCATAGGCGTATCCAGTCATGAGGCCAGAGGTATTGTTTTGAGGGCCTTTTGTGTTGAAGAATAGTAGGTTGCCGAGAGATTGTGGCATAGAGGAAGATCTCAAGGATTAACTTGAGACTTCCAAGAGATGAGCAAGAATGCGAATTCTTTTATACCCCAAGGTGTTGTTCCTAAAGGGTACCTATGTAATCCCATCCCTTTTGCTGACTGCCGCCCCTGGCCGATTTCTGATCGTCCAATGATAGATCCTGTCAAACCCCAGATCTACCATTTGCCGCTCTTCCTCTCCCGATTCGTCTACCAGAGGAAACATCAGGTGGCGCCGCCGTCCACGGCGCAGTCCACGAGACTCGCGGCAGATCAGCCAATTGGAGCCGCTTCATCAACGAGTCACGACTAGACTGATGCTCTCTTCCAACAGCCGTATTAGTGAGCTTATTAAGGAGCTCACGTTAATTGGCAAAGAGGGGAGTGCATCTAAGCCATTTATTAACCTACTATAGTGTATGTTCTTGGCCGATCTATGAATCACCAAACTACTAAGACACGGGCTAAGAGATCATCACTAGTTTTTAATAAGGCTATGCTTGATTAATATTATATAATATTAAAGAATAAATTTTAGTTTTAAGGGGTAGATTATTATGCTGAATAATTTAGGTTGTTATATTCTCACCAAGTAATAAATAATACAGTCATTATTTAAAATAGTTATCTAGATAGAATGTGCTAAATTGCTTTATATAGATAGATTAAAGGGAAGTTTTATATTTATATTCCAGCCTTTATCCCCTATAATACTACTACCTATATAAGATCATTCTATCAGTTAGCCTATTATAGATAAAAACTTAATTATTCAGCTAGTAAAAAGTTTTAAGTGGAAAAATTAATAAAAGATCAATATGCTAGGGGTAGCTATATATATTGAATATAGTCTACTATGCTACCAAGCATCTTTATTCCCTTGTATCATTAACATGGCGCACCCCATCCATTCTTCTAGCAACAGTGACGGCTTCACGCAAGGCACGGCCCACACTTCCACGCACAGCAGCCTCCTCTAGAACCATCAACCCCCCCATGGTGCAGCCCTCTGGGGCGGTTCCCTGGTCCTTGAGCAGGGCGGGATGCACCCCGCTCTGCAGTAGGCCTGCCGTGCCGCGCATCGCCTGGAAGACCATCGTCTGCGCCGCGGGCCGAGGCACGCCTACTGCGACAGCGGCGTCTACCATCGCGTCGACAATCACAGCAAAGAAAGCTGGCGTTGAGCCTGCCACGGCCGTGACGGCATCCATCTGCGAGGGCGGCAGATGCATCACCGCGCCCACGCGGCCAAATAAACCGTCGACTATCTCCATGTATGGCCCAGGCAGGTCGGGCTGGTCGTCTTCCACTGCAGTCAGCGACTCGCCCACCAGCGCGGCAATATTGGGCAGCGTGCGGACTACCCAGAGCCGTCTCTCGGTGGAGGAGGAACCCAGCACGCTTTCTAGGCGCTGGCGCGTCCAACCCGCCGCAACACTGATTAGCAGTTTGTCTGCCAGCGCTGAGTGTATCTCGGGCGCTGTCAGTGCGGCCTCAATGGCCCCAGGAGGCAATGCCAGCAGGACCACATCCGCGCCCTGTACAGCCCCGGCGACGGCGTGATTGTTGTCTTTGTCTGCGGCCAAGACATTCAGCCGCTTCGTCTGCAGATGGTTCGCAAACTGGGAGCTCAGTCTCTCTGCGGAAGCTGTGCTTGCGACGCAGGCTCCGATTTGTGCAAAAAGGAGTGTTTGTGGCTGTGTCGCGCTGGGGGTGCCTAGCAGGCTATCTAGAATGGCTGTGCCCAGGTTGCCTTGGCTGTCAGCCAGCGTAATGAAATGACCAGGAAGTTCTTACCGCAGCCTAGAAAGCAGAGCTTCTTGGTCTCCATTATTGCTTGTGGAATATTAATTCCTGTGAATTAGACCAAGTGGAAATGGTCAATAAATCCCGTTTATAATAGCCTTGGAGGGGTTGTGGGGAACCGGGACAGCTTCCGATGGCTTATCGATGCCTATCTTTGAGTTATCTACCTTTGATATATTGACTTAGCACACGTCATCCAGGCCGCTGAGGGAACGAGAAGTCAGAAGGAATACTAGAAACAATAGGCACTGGCAAGAGGAAGTAATCATTGTTTCAATCTTCGTGATCTACTTCGTATTTCCTAGCCAAGGCATGCAAACACGAGTCGCAGCAGTAGGCGCATTCAACCAAGCCACATGGTGGCCTCTGCATTATTAAAGATAATAATAAAGGCCATAAGGAGAGCTCGAAAAGGCTACTTTTCAATCATATCAGATTCATCTGTATATATGGATTGCACAATGTCATCACCTCCGCCTGCCCTCCTCGACGCTATGAGAAGCCTTCTCACCCATGGTGAATTTTCAGACATGGAGATTCATTGTGGAGGCACCACCTTCAAGACTCATCGAGCCGTGGTCTGCATGCAGTCTCACTTCTTCCACAGCGCCCTGAGTGACGGGTTCAAGGTGAGTGAATTGTTTATCGCCGGCTGGTCTCAAGGGCTTACCTGGTCTAGGAAACCGTAAGCCAGGCCGTCTCATTGCCAGAGGATGACCCGGAGACGATCAAACGCGTGCTGCACTTTCTCTACCTCCAGGACTATGATGAGTTGGAAGATACTGTTCCATCGGGGCAGGCTACAGAAGACATTTCCAAGCCCAAATGCGACAACCACACACAGATCAAGGCTGCGGCCGACATGACCATCCAGGTGTACATTGCGGCAGACAAGTTTGGTATCCTTCCACTCAAGACTCTGGCTGCCGACAAGTTTTCGGAATGGGCGGCTTCAAATTGGCAGTCGCCGGTGTTTGCGGAAGTCGTGGCAGATGTGATGACGTTGATACCGCCGCATGATACGGGCCTGCGGGATATCGTTGCCAGGACCATTGCTGAAAACACGTATCAGCTAATGCGGCAAGATGAGATACTCCGGCTTCTTGAGAGATTCGGAGGCCTGGGAATGTCGGTTTTGGCCACCCTGGCGAGCAGGGGGATGGTTAAACTGGCCAATGAAATGGAGTTGGGCGTTTTATCAAGCATGGCTGAGAAGTTGACTAACAGCCCTGAGTGTTGGCTATGCCAAACAAAATTCAATGTCCTGATGAAGAGTGGTGAATATGAAATGGGGACATTCCGCTGCCTTCATTGTAAAGAACAACAGTGATGTCGAATTAAAAGAGTTTATCTATATTATTATATTTCTAGAAGGCTTATAATCTACAGTGCTTTGCTAGTGAATATCTATTTACCTAGCAAATTATATTTAGTTTAGTATAATAATATATACAACATGGCCTGATTAAAAATCCGCTTGCCCACCATGTGACTCAGATCTAATATACCAGCTGCTATAGTTTACTTTATTCTAGTAGACTGTAATTCTGGTACTTTCTTATTACTTAGACAATATATTTGGGTCTGCCAGATACAGTATCAAACTATTACCTATAGGAGAATATAAAGCTAGCTTAATATTACGTATTGATGTGTTCCTATGTTTCTCAGCCGTTTATACCTACCTGTAGCTATCTCTAGGGTGTTCAAGACTTGCAGCATGGAGGAATAAAAATGCGGGATGCTCTAATATTCAAATAAAGTCGCTAGAAATTCTCAGAATATAGCTACAGTTTTCTGACATCTATAGAATACCTTCCTTGGCAGGACTGTGGAATGCAGAATGGAAGTACTCCCGCAACGCGGTATTAGCCAGACACCCGAACCCAAAGGCCGGGAGAATGCGCATACAGCGGAGGGCAGTAGCGGGCCCCAGGTGTCGCCCAACAGTAACCAGTCTGTCCCCCCAGGGTACTCTATCTCGCCGGTGGTAGAAGTCTAACCCGAGCAAGTGTACCGGGGTGGCGACCAGCTGCGAAGCCATGGGGACCATCAATTGCAGGACGACTGTCGTGCCCGTCGCGCCCAGCGAGTCCGGGACCCGGTGCATACACCAGGGGGCCAGCGTAAAGGAGCCGAAGATGGTGATGGCGTCGCGTAGTAGCAGCAGAGCCAGCGACGCCGTCGCCCCAGTCCCTCCCGCGGGGGGTGGGATTCCGCGTCCAAACAGCTGTGCGAAGCGTAGATCCTTGCGGACCCCAAGCGGGACGTTGACGAGCAGGGTGCAGAGGAAGGTTGCTGAGGCCGCGGTGGACAGTGGCAGGTCTGACGCCGCGGCGAGGTCTTCTGTTGTGTTGGCCACGGCGTACGTCGTCGCGTACAGGGTCCAGACCAGGCGATGCGGGCGCGAGAGCAGGAAGCGGGCCGGGGAGCCGAGGGCGGCCCGCAGGTGGCTCTGGAACCCCGCGCGCGGGGCGATCCCCAGTGTGGCTTTCTCGACGAGGACGCTAGAGAACTAGTTGGCGGGGTCATCCAGTAACTAGGGTTTAGGGTTTAGGGTTATGCGCCTTACCGATCGAGGATCGTCACTGTCGGCGCCACAGCGGTGGCAGCCACGACGGCGGCGATGAGGTCGCCGCCGAGCTCCAAACCCAGTGATGAGGGGATGAGGGGAGAATCCATGCTTATACTTTGCTCCAAAGTAGTGTGCAGGCCGAATCATTTATCTGTTCGCCCGGATGTCCTCCCGAGCCACGACTCTATCTGGCCCGCTTTCTCGGCTTCCCACCCGCGGTTGCTATCGATAAATAGCCAGATAACCAAGCAGATGGTTCATCTTCAAACACTCTCAGCTCATCAATTGTTGCACAAAATGATGACACCCGCCAGACGAACCCTCGCCGCCGTGCGCCCGATCGCCCCGCGGCTGCTCCGTGCGAGGGGCATCGCGACGATGCCCTTCCGCCTGCCAGACCCGCGCAACGAGCCTAATGTGCGTGACTATTTCTTGATCTTGTTTCTTTCTTTACGTGGTGATTCTTTGAATATTGACTGCTCAGCCCCTCTATACTCGCGGCTCACCGGAGCGTGCCCGAATTGAGGCCGCCTTGACCGACCTGCGCGGCCGACTGCCCGTAACGAGCAACATCTACCTCCATGGAGCTGTGCAGCCCGCCAGCTCATCAATCACGCAGCCGCTCCCGGGCGAGCACGCAACGGCCTTCACAAATTATCCCCTGGCGTCGCGCGAGCAGGTGAAAACGGCGATTGAGACGGCGCTGGCGGCTAAGCGCGAGTGGGAACAGACGCCGTTCGTGGACCGGGCAGCGATCTTTCTCAAGGCCGCCGAGCTGGTGACGGGCAAGTACCGCTACGAGCTCATCGCCGCGACCATGCTGGGCCAGGGCAAGAACATCTGGCAGGCTGAGATCGACGCGGCGGCGGAACTGGCCGACTTCTTCCGCCTCAACTGCAATTTTGCGGCGGAGATCCTGGGGAAACAGCCAACGCGGGGGACAGACGGCATGTGGAGGTAATCAGTCCACACAATCACAAGGAGAATCAATGCTGATCACAGAACTCAATAGTCGCATGGAGTACCGCCCCCTCGAAGGCTTCGTCTACGCCGTGTCGCCCTTCAACTTCACGGCCCTCGGCGGCAGTCTCGTGTCGGGCCCGGTGCTGATGGGCAACGTTGTGCTGTGGAAGCCGTCGCCGTCCAACATCTACGCCAGCACGCTGATCTATAAGATCCTGCTTGAGGCCGGTCTGCCGCCGAATGTCGTCCAGTTCGTGCCTGGCGACGCTGCGGAGGTCACCGAACAGGTGCTGGCCCATCGCGACTTTGCCGGCCTCAACTTCATCGGCTCGTCTGCCGTCTTCCGTCAGATATACGCCCAGATCGGCCAGGGCATCGGGAACGGCACCTACCGCGAGTTCCCGCGCATTGTGGGCGAGACCAGCGGCAAGAACTTCCACCTGGTGCATCCGTCGGCCGACATCCCCAGCGCCGTCAACCACACCATCCGCGGCGCCTTTGAATACCAGGGCCAGAAATGCTCGGCCACATCGCGTCTGTATCTGCCCGAGTCGCGCGCCGAGGAGTTCCTCACGGCGTTGCGCGCCGGCGTCGAGCGCATCACCGTCGGCAGCCCCGACGGCGATCTGGAGGCCTTCATGGGCCCCGTCATCCACCGCGCATCGTTTGACCGCATCAAGGGCGTCATCGATGCCAGCAACGCGGATCCAACGCTCGAGGTGCTGGCGGGGGGCACCTACGACGACTCCGTGGGCTTCTATGTGCAGCCCACCGTCTACCGGGCGCAGTCGCCGGACCACAAGCTCTTCCATGAGGAGATCTTCGGCCCTGTTCTAGCAGTATACGTCTATCCTGACGCCGAGTACACCTCGCTGCTGGCCCAGATCGACCAGGCCGGTGGTGGTTTTGCCCTCACCGGCGCTGTCTTCGCCGCAGATCGTGTTGCCATCCGCCAGGCGGAAGATGCCCTGCGATACTCTGCGGGCAATTTCTACATCAGTGAGTTTTTGTTTTCCTTTCTATCCAGGTATCTTTTCTAACTTTGACAGACTGCAAAACGACGGCGGCGCTGATCGGCCAGCAATCGTTTGGAGGCGCCCGTGCCAGCGGGACTAATGATAAGGCTGGCAGCTCGGACATGCTGCGTCGCTTCACCAGCCCGCGCCTGATCAAGGAGGAGTTTTTCCCTCTCGACCGGTTTACCTATCCTAGCAATGAGTAGTTCAATAGACATTATCAGAGCCGCTTTCGTATAATAGGACCATTGCTATTCATATCAATCAGTACTTTGAATCATTTATCTATTGTAATGGGGCAGTCTAGACCTACTGTTCTTATCAAGGCGTTGATTCCGTATCTTCACTAGACGGTGGATGCATAATGTACAGAATCAACAAATAAATAATATTCAAAGTGATAGATAAGATGATATAAATCAATGAAAATAAAAAAAAGTTTCTATTGGCCTCCTTCTTCAATATCTAAAGCTAGCATGTCTGTTCGGGAAGGCTGCCGCAGCATCGGATGGCCTGCCGGTAGACCCAGTGCTATACAATAAATACATTCCATCCATTGCATTCCTCACTCATTCTCTCACTTTCACAGACCTATCCTCTCCCCTCATCCCCTGAAAGAGTTTGACAACATGTCAAGTCCGATCATCATCGTGGGCGCCGGCGCGTTCGGTCTGTCGACCGCCCTGCATCTGGCGCAGAACGGGTACGACAATGTGCTGGTCATGGACAAGGCCGAGCAGATCCCATCCGGCTTCTCAGCTGCCAACGACCTCAACAAGATTGTCCGCGCCGAATACGAAGATCCGTTCTATACTGATCTAAGTCTTGTACGTCCGAAAGAGGGAGATTAATAGAGACGTGTCAGGAGACTGACAAGAGAAACCCAGCAAGCGATCGCGGCCTGGAAGACTCCTCTGCTCGCCGCGCATTTCCACCAGACCGGATTCCTGCACTGCGTGTCCGAAAACGCTCCCCCGGAGGCTGTCGCAACGCTGAACCGGTTCCAGGCTGCCGCGGAACGCAGCCCGGTCCTGCAACCGTACCTGGTGCGCGTGGAGGGTGCCCAGGCTGTGCGCCAGCACGTCTGGCAGTACAACGAGGGCACGCTGCCTGGCTGGACGGGATACCTGAACCGATTCGATGGATACGCGCATTCGGCCGACGCGCTGCGGGCCGTGTTCCGCGCGGCGCAGGCGGCCGGGGTACGCTTCCTGCTGGGCGAGGGCGGGGCCGTAACAGAAGTGGTGCGGGCCGGGAGCGGGAGCGGGGGCGGCAAGATCCGCGGGGTGCGCACGGCGGCCGGGCGCTTCCACGCGGCGGAGCGGGTTATCGTCGCGGCTGGGGCGGCCGCGGGGCGGCTCGTGCCCGAGCTCGGCACGCAGATTGTGGCCAAGTCATGGTCGGTCGCGCATGTGCAGCTCACGGACGATGAGGCGTCGGCCCTGCGCGGCATTCCCGTCACGTACGCGCGCGACCTGGGTTTCTTCTTCGAGCCCGACCCGGCGACCAAGCTGCTCAAGCTGTGTCCCATGGGCGGTGGGATTGTCAACACGGACCCGCACACGGGGGTGTCGCATGCGCCCGACTCTCTCGAGGCCAGTACCGGCTGGATGCCGGCCGACGACGAGGCGAAACTGCGCCGCTTGCTGGCGCAGACCCTGCCGCAACTCGCCAATCGCCCGCTGGTGCACAAGTCGATCTGCTGGTTCGCCGACAGCAAGGACTCGGACTTTATCATCGATTACGTGCCTGGGTCGGAGCACTCGCTGGTTATGCTCTCCGGCGACTCGGGCCACGGCATGAAGATGTTTCCGCTGGTCGGTCAGTGGGTGCGTGCCCTGCTCGAAGCCCCTGACCAGCGCCAGCCTGTGGCGCGCTGGCGCTGGAAAGGCAACCAGAACGATGAGGGGAATTGGGGGGGTGCCGTCAGTTGGCGGCTGGGGGATACCCGGGAGTTGAAAGATATCAAGGCGAGACTTTAAATCAGTAGGTTGAATACATAATATGACAACCGGTAGATTGATTTTCCTACTTATATAACTTGAACATGATTAAGTATACGGAGTAATAGAATCGTACGCATCCGAATATGACACATCTAAGGAGCAACGCCACCTTTATATCACAGGGATTAGTTACAGGCATATAACTATACTGTAGAAGAGAGGCGTCTCTGAAGCGGCAGTCTCACCGAGTCACTTCTTTGCATGATAGTTTTAACCAAATAGTCAATTCAGTCATTCAGGTCATTACCACATCCGATCCTCAGTAAAGGTATTGGCTATCCAGTCTACGTCTCCTGTCACAATCGACTCGGCCACCGCCATCAGCTCCGTGGTGAGTTCCTCGGGATCCCTTCCGACCTCAGGGATGGTCAGCTCCACGAGCGGGTCCGGGCTCGACTGCAGGTCTGCAACCAGATGCGCCAGCATCTGCAACTCGGCCTTGCGGAAGCCTGCGATGAGATTGCCCCGCGACTTCATCTCGTCGAGCACGGCGTGGCTTTTTGCCGTCCACGCCTGCCAGTCGTCCAGCATCGCGGGATCAATGGCCTGCGCGATCGTCAGCACCACCGCCGACGTGAAGGTGGCGTCGAGGTCGAATGTGAGGAAGCTGTCTACACTCGAAGGTAAGCTTATTGTATTGAAGCTGAAATGGCAAGAGACTATAAGGGCAATCAACCTAATAGATTCTGCTGTTGCAGGACGGTGAGAATGGTAAGCATCTGCCGCGCCGACTCAAGGCAGACTTGCATCAATTTGCGCACATTGCCAGATGAATTCTCTAAACTGAGGTCATCGGCAGCTTGCAGTTTCAGCTGGAGAAAACAGCACAGCACTGGTCTGGTGGCCAGGACGATGCACTGGTGGTGCAGCAGATGGAGATGGGCAGCCAGGCGTGAGACACCCGTCACACGAGGCTCGTCAAGCCGGAGCTCGTACGCCTTGGATAGATCGTGAGCCAGCTCGACAATGCTGGCCAGGGTACTCTTTGTCTTGAGCAGGAATCGGCGGTTGAAGCGTCCGTCGGGGCCATAAACAGCTGCTGGTTAGCCAATCCGGCATCCCTTCCTTGCTCTATACTTACTACTGTTGATCTCCTCCATGATCCGGCAGATCCGAATCTGCATCCACAGTGCGATGATTTTAGACGAGCCCGCGAGGGCGTCTGGCATGCAAGGCAGTTGCTCGTGGAGCTGGTCGTCGCGGATGGACTGCGGCAGGCCCATCAACGAGGTCAACTGGCGATCCAGCACATACACCGTCCACCAGATACGCCGACAGCGCTGGACTTCGGCCTCGCCCAGCTGGTCTACCGGCATGTCCGTGTGCATACCTTGTGCCATGGCGATGCGTACTGCTTGTCCGATCTACCAGATTAGTCTTCGCCTGGCTTATTCCTAGCACCGAAGAGAAAACATACAGAGATGTATGCTGAATGGCGAAAGTCCAACGACTGCAGATACAACGCCAGACAGCACAGCATCTCTGTCGCCAGGATAGGCTCCTGGCAGAGCCGGGGCATGTCTGGCACCAGCTGCAGGGCGCGGGCGAAGAACTCGCCGCCCGGGGGCCGCCGCCCGGGGCTACGCTGGACAACAAAGGCCTTGCCAAACGCCATGATGAGCAGGTAATGGATGTACCACAGGCTCGGGGCGGCCGTGTGAGCCTCGGGGTCCTGGTAGAAGGCGTACAGTCCCGCCATGAACGTTGCGTGGTCGAACAGATGGAAGAGCTGGCCCGTGTGGAAGTCGACGACATGCAGCAAGTGCAGCGAGTAGTCGAATGACGGCGCTGTGGTCATCCCCGGCTCGATGTCCAGATCGTACGCCGAACCGTCGAACAGGAGTTGATCGGTTGCTGGCGGGCTGTGGTGGACGTGCTGATGCATCATGCACAGCACCCGACGGGCAAACGACCAGTTGGACGAGGTCCCGAGATAATCTTGAGGATATCAGCTTGATGTGACAAGGAGTGTCCACTCTCCATCCTTACACGATCTACCACTGGCAGCAACCATGTAGGTCGACGGCCGGGTGGAGAGGGGGTTTGTCAGGTTGGAACTCGCATCTTCTTCCCCGTTGTCTTCGTCGACGCCGGCTTCCGCTGCGGCTGGTGATGAAGAAGAAGCAAATAGAAGTCCCGGGGCATGGTCATCAACGTTGTGAGCCACTGGCTGGTGGTCTGCTGGTGCCTCGCCGTGCTCAAGAAGGGCAATCTGGCGATAGAGGTCCTCGAGATGACTGACGGTCAGCAAGCGGTCTATGTCAATCAATCGAAACCACCAGCATTCCATACCCCCGAGTCACCAGCACTTTCTGCACGCGGTCATCGAAAATACAGGGCAGCTTCCGCTTGTTGCATGTCTCGCAGGGCTGATACCCGGAGCATTTCACCTTCTGTCGACGGCAGCGCTGGCAGCTGTGTCAATCATGATCCCATTAGTGATGTGTTTTTGTCGTGTCATAGCCTCACATACGCATTGGAGGATCGCTTCTTGATGCGCGACTCACGACAGGAGCTGTCCATTTTGATCTCGACTGTTGCGGGGGGGGGGGGGAATTGAAACACGCGACAGAATGCTCAAGGCTATATATAGACCAGTTGTTATCTCCTTGTGCGGGGTTGATAAGTGTGGAGATGGTTATCACTAAGGATTCCTTTACCTAAACTGTATCCATCCTGCTGATCAACTAGTAACTAGTAATCTAGTGATATAAAGTATACTTGTGAGGTTAGAGTGGTTTGATAATATAAAATCTCTAGACCATATAAATTTATTTCTTTGCTATGATTTTACTCTTGCTATTCTTCAGGCTTACCCTAGGTAATCAAATCACTAGCTTATATTATTAAACGGTGTCGCATACCCCTGTCAGTCAGACAACATGATACACTGATATAGTGATGATAATGATAAGGTGATCTCCAAGGTATTATTCATAGTAGTAATTATATACTAGTCTACACTCAGCTTTCTGTCATGCCACAATAGATTGTGCTGTACACTTTCAATAGCACAGTTTTATAATAGCTAGTAGCTAGATTACAAGATAGTGACGAGAGCTTCATTTGATACTATCGGATCTATATCCGGCCCCTTTTCCCGAGGACCGGGTATGTTACCGACCCTATATGTTGTAAATCATCGTCATAATCCCTATAATGGCAGCTCCTATTGGCGGCTATTCGAAGGAAACAATAGAAAAGAGGGTAGAAAAGCTGGGCCGGTCAATCTGTTGGCTAGCAGAGAGGGGACCGTTGAGCATTAAAAGGTGCTAGCTTGTGAAATCTCCCTTGAATTGTCACCCTGGCTAAACATGACTCCTGGATCTCCTTCAACGTGCTATCTTAATACACGGGATATAAGCTGATAGAAGCATCCTAGCATCACAATCGTGGTCGACGCGGCAGGCATCCTCATGGGACCCATCGGGCGGGAGATCGCCATGGTAGCCAGGATGCGCTATCTTATCTTTATCATGGCCAGCCTGCTCATCTTTACTGCTGCTATATTCTCTGTCATGTAGTATACACCTGCTCTCTGGTACTGAAATACAGGTGGAAGAATGATATTTATTGTACTTCTATCGGACCCAGCGGCGCGGTTATTTCTATGTGCCTCCTTTTGCATCGCCTTGCCTTGCACACTTGATCATATATCATGACTACCTTTTATCTATATTGCCATAAATCATATATAAATAGAAATATTATAAGTAATAAGTGGTTTAATTAGTATTTATAGGTACTTTCTTTCCGAAACTTATCACTATATTTATTGTGGCTGTCAGGAATATAGGGTTGGCTTCATCAAGGCTATGGTAAATAATAATTTAGTTATCTATGGCAGCCATCTCTAATAATATCCTTTCCTATAGTGGATTTTGGCATCATAAATTCTTAATTCTCGCTCTTCCTCTTCTAATTTTTCATAGCAAGTCACAACGCCTTTTTGAACATAATGACGGAACTAATGGATCCCTACTACTTCCCAAAAGTCCAAACTTTACTGCAGTTCATAGATGTTGCCCTCTATATTATGACTAATACTAATTCTAAAACTGGATTCACCAGCAGATTCTCATTACTGAAGTCACTAGAGGGAAAGTCGCTGTAAAACCGATTAATTTTGTTCATTGGCGCCTTTTAACTGCGTAGAGCAAAGCTGTTCATGACTCTGAGGAGCACAAGAGGCAGGGAGGCAGAAGCTTTAAACTATTTGGCGTAAGAGAATAGGGCTCCCTCTTTACTAGACGATCCGCTTTTTGTATGCCAAATGTTTTCACCCTATATACTACTCATAGGGATCAGCTTTCTCCTTAAAGATGGTCACTACCTTGCTCAATATATCCTTTATTATCCTTAGTTATGTTGGTATAAACCCTTTGTCTATGAAGTAGCAGCTTCTTCCATGAGATCCAGCTTACTGGTTAGTGTAGACTAAGATATCTCTATTGATTATTTATAAGGATACTATAAAGATGAGCTTTGCTGCACTTATAATAATACCAAGTATTAGGCATAATTCACTATAGAGCTGTCTAATATTAGAGGTGTCAGCCTTGATAGCATCATCCATCAACTCCTGCTGGCTCGTCCAGGCCACGTCGCCCTGACATTTAATAAGATACTTATACTTCAATGTAATTTGCTGCTCGCAAAATTACCATGTAGCTCTTGTTCTCGATAAAGATAAATGTAAAAAGGGGTTTTGAATTTGACTTCATGTAAATAATAACAGGGATATTTTAGATAGAAGGATGCTCTTCAACATCATCCAATTAGAACTAGTCCACAGACCATTCAAGGTAGTTACAATGGTTAGGTGAGTTACAGTGCTATGCCCGGCTTGGTCATCCTGTACTACTATATTCTGGCGTATATGGATATCATATCCACCCAAGGCTGCCGAGCATAGTCGAGGGCTCCTCATTGATCGGCCAGTTAACAAAGTATATCAAAGCCCAAGTTGAAGAGATATAGTACGTGCCACCGTCTGTTTGGCTGGAATTCCCCAATCGGTCTATATCTTGCAGCGGCATAGTACCCGATCCGGAGTCTGGATTGGAGGGGTAACCGGCAGGGCAGCCGGAGCGATAGTGGATAGTGATAAGTGATATAAATTAGTATAGAGTTGGAAGATGAACTACTGGTAGCAGAACAAAACACTATATCACAGAATTCCACAATGCCGATCAATAGCACTGCCCGGACCATCCCCCGGGCCATCCCCCGGGCCATCCCCCAGCCCATATCCCCCCCGGGCCCCTTCTCCGCTGTCCACCTCCGCCGCCAGTCCACCAGCAGCCAGGGACAACCTCCTCTGGCAGTCCTGCCCACGGGCGCCCTGCTACGCTCTCTGCTCACCAACTGCGTCGCCTCCAAGCCGTGGCTGCAGCGACCTGTCCTGGCGGTCCTCGCCCGCCTGGCCGCCATCGACAGCGGCAACTGGTTCAGCGTGGACCGCAACCCGCTCCTGCACGCCGTGCTCAAGACCACCTTCTACCGCCAGTTCTGCGCCGGCGAGACTCCCAGCGAGACCCGTGAAACACTGCGCGCCCTGAAGGCAATGGGCTTTGGGGGCAGCATCCTCACCTACGCGCGGGAGACCGTCTTTGACCACCGCACGGGGGCGCAGCGGGCCTTTACGGATGGGAATAGGGTCGATGATGATGAACATATTGCCGTCTGGCGCCGGGGCACCCTCGACACGGTCGATTTGCTGGGGCCTAATGATCTGCTCGCACTCAAGTAAGTATAAAAAGTGAACAAAATGAATACACGGATGTAAGCTGATCTCAAGGCTCACGGGGGCTGGCCCCGGCGTGACAGGGGCGTTTGCCGCCGGGGAGAACCCCCCTGCGGCAATGTGGGCAGCCGTGGAGGCGATCTGCGACCGCTGCGAGGAGCGTAACGTGCGGATCCTGGTCGACGCCGAGTCGCAGCACTACCAGGCGGGCATCCAGAAGATGACCCTGGAACTGATGCGCAAGTATAACCGGAACCGCCCCGCGCTCGTCTACAACACCTACCAGGCATACCTGAAGGCTACACCCGCCACGCTGGCCACCCATCTGGTCGCCGCCGCCCAAGATGGCTTCACCCTCGGGCTTAAGCTTGTGCGCGGTGCCTACCTAGCCACCGACCCGCGCGCCCTGATCCACGACACCAAGGCTGACACTGATGCCGCCTACAACGCCATTGCCCAGGGGGCCCTGCGCCGGCATCTTGGCGACTTTGGGGGAGACAACGCGCTGAAGCCCTTCCCTGCCGTCGACCTCTTTCTTGCCGGCCATAACCGAGTCAGTGTCATGACAGCGTACGAGCTGCACCGGAGCCGCCGCCTGGCTGGCCTACCGACAGTCAGACTGGGGTTCGCCCAGCTACACGGCATGTCGGACGAGCTCAGCTTTGATCTTCTGCAGCGGACAAGAGGGAATTTCAATGAGAAGCCTGGTCTTGACTTCCAAGAACCAGATGTCTACAAGTGCTCCAACTGGGGCACGGTGGGCGAATGTCTGGCGTATCTCACGCGGAGAGCCATTGAGAACCGAGACGCCATTACTCGCACTCACGACGAATATAGCGCCCTGAAGGCTGAGGCTCGGCGACGGATTCTGGCGGGTTGGCAGCCTAGTCCGCGCCGAGGGAAGGTGTGGGACATTTAGCTATACCTATGAATAAGATGATTATGAATATTGACGAATCTACCATCCTTCTATTGATAAATATACCGATTTACTCATAAGGAGATAGGAATGAAAGCTATTTCAATATATGTCTCTCTACTTATATAGTCAGTGGTCATGTACTGGGGTATGATGCATACAAACTATCATTATATTCCTTTTGATCCATTGGAAAGGGGATCGAGAGCTCTTCCATTTCATACTCTATGTGAATACAGGAGAGTGTTGACTGGGACATCAACCAGAATTAGTTCTAATAAATGATTTAAGATATCCTGTGAGTCAATTAATAAAATTATATCCTTTATAGAATGAATGATAATTTATTAAAAATTACTTAAGAAGAAAAGTAATATATTAGGGAAAATAACTAGATTATCTATATTAATACTTAGGAAAGGCTCATCTATATTCCTCCTGCTTATTGACCTTTAACAGGTTTACGACTGATTCCCATGATACCATTTTTACATGTGGAATACAGAATAGCGACATGATTCTTTTAAAGTTCATAAAGAGGGAATAAGCTATTTATATTTTTACCAGATAATACTAGTTATACTATTTTACTATATAATATACTATACCTGTTATAAATCCTTCAACTACTGGAGGTCCCCCCACTATTCCATTCATAGGCATCTAACCCTTTCCTAAAACTTTAGAAAGGGACACACAAAGACAAACTGGTTAAGATAATCTTTATTATAGATTCCACCTGCAACAGTTCCACAAAATCCTGACTAGACCAACGTTCCCTAGCATTGCGTTCGTCGTAATATTTGGGCGCTCAGGAGTCGATCATTCTCTGGTCATCCTTAGATAGATCATCCACTGGGTGGGGATGCTGCAGTGGACGACGACAAAGTTACTATAATAATGTGTTAGAAGGTGAAGAGGGAGCAAAGAGAGGAGAATAATTACCTCATTAATTATAGTATGTCCCTCCCGAGTTACTAGTTATTACAACCGACAGAATCAGTACATCTGTCACGGATATCCAATATGACAGATTCTCTGCACTTTAACATCAGATCAACAGAGACGGATCAGCGCATGTTCCCGGATCTCCTGAATTCAATTTACTAGCGAATCTACATGGCCGGGGTGTTACTATTAGGACGTACAAGCATGATGCTTGATATCCTAAAGATCAACGGGTAGTCATCATGACTTTTGATAAAAACGGACGATCGTCAAAACGGGTAGACCAACCTCTGCCCATGCTATAAACTTACAAAAGAAATTGTACCTAGCTCCATGGAAGCATTAGTATGAAGAATGAATAAGATATCTACAGGGTATAATGGGCAGACCTCGCAACTGATTGATACCCCTCTTTTACCATGTCTCCCCAAAACATACTAGATGCCTAGCACAAAATTAAGGGGACACTATTTCATAGACTATTTAGACGCTAAAATTATCAAGCCAATGGGCAATGATTCCACTATGAAAATATTATAGAGGGAATAGCTGCACTATTATCTCTACTGTCTGCTCTACTCTCAAGGAGACAAATTCCTGCTCGATATTTCCAAATTAGAGCATGATTCTGTCTATTACATGAATTTCCAGTGTGATAGCAAAAGGAGACGACATGTGCAAAATAAGCTAAGCTTTACACCAATCAATTTAGATTTCTTCCAGTTTGATCTAATCCCTAGCGGCCCCCGTTATTGATGAATATTTAGCATGTGCCTCGGCAGATGTCTCAGTGAGCTATATACTAGTGTATTAGAAATATTATTATAAAATCAGGTGTTATATATATTGCAGGATGCTAATGACCATGAAGAATCATATGCAGGCCTATCACCACTCCACATGGCAGCCAGGAATGCTTAAGTGTCCGCCACGATGTCCGACTGGCCGATCTCACTGGCCCCTGGAGTCTTCTCCCCCTGGCATTAACACAGCGTGACGGGCCTTCTGTCCCACCCGGTGATCTCCCGACTTGTCTTGAACCTCCCCCATGTCCTCAATGTCTGTGCCTGACTGCATGGTTCAATATGCCAAAGAGGCCACTTACGTCAACCCGGATAGAGTCGAACGGTGGAGGCTATATAAACAGCCCTCCCCCATCTCTGTCTGCCATACTCGGTGGAATGAGTACGACACACCACACCGCCGGTCTCTAATTATCATCCAAGATGCCCTCCAAGCACCAGGTGTCTCTCCTTGCCCTCGCTGGCCTTGCTGCCGCGGCGCCCTCCAAGCTGCGCAAGCGCGAGGCCCTCCCCGACTACGCCATCACGTACGCGCCCCTGTCGTACCTGTACAGCGGCGAGTCCTGGTTCCCGTCTGATGTGACGGTGCATCTGGCCAACGTCAAGCCCGAGGTGGACTACGTCGCGATCGGAGCCAACAACTCGGTGACGCTCGACACGCTCGACTCGTACGCCTCGGACGTGTACCTGACGGCGTCGGACGGGCCCATCTACGATCCCCTGGACGGCACGCCGGCCTGGCTCTCGTCGGACTACGGCATCCCCGACAGCGACGGGCTCAGCGCTGCTCCGGGGCTGATCATCGCCGCCGAGAAGAACAGCACCACCACTGATGTGTTTTACTTTTATTTCTACTCGTACAACTACGGTGGAAAGTGAGTTTTCTTTATCTTCATTGCTCTATTTATACTCATGGCAGGGTTTTGGATATCAATTTCGATGACCACGTCGGAGACTGGGAGCACGTCATGGTAAGGGAATCCTTGCTTCCACCATGATATAACAATATTACCCCAATATTGACTCGTACAGATCCGCTTCGTCGACAAGAAGCCTTACGCCATCTACTGCTCCGAGCACAGTGCCGGCTCTGCCTATTACTGGGACATCCTGGACTTTTCCGGCGATCGCCCCCTGACGTACATCGCGTACGGCGGCCACGCCAACTACGTGACCTCGGGCACGCACGACTACACCGTTGCCCTGGGCCTCATCTCCGACACGACCGACGCCGGCTACCTGTGGGACATGACGCTCAACTACCGCGGCTACTGGTACGACGTGGACTCGGAGGAGTTCTCCGTGGCGTCTGGAGCGGGCAAGGGTGCCACCGAGGAGGCCGACGAGTCTGCCGACTGGCTGGCCTGGCTAGGCTACTGGGGCGACGAGCAGTACCCGGACAGCTTGATTGACGATCTCGAGACGGGCCAGTACTGCATTGACGATGAGTGCCGGTATTCCAGTGGTCCTACAGGGCCTGCCGACAAGAACCTCGGCCGCTCGACCATGTGCCAGAAGGATGACTGTACCATCTTCGACAACATTGACGATCTGACCAAGCAGTCTTAGCACCCTTGAGACAGATTTAATTATCTTGTCTTTACTTGGAAAAGGCTTTAAAATGTTGTCTAGATCTAGATTCTTCATGGGAAATACGTAGTGGCCCAAGGGGTTTAGTAACAATGTGGTTAATAATTTAGTATTAATAATAATAATAAGCATATAGGTGTATTATATATTATAAATAGTATTTAAGCTAGTATCATAGTTTATAAACTAGTTTTAAGGTTATAATGTAATTATAGTGTAATTATAAGATAGTTATAAATAGTTATAATTTAATATTATATAATTACTTTATAATTATAAATAATAACTAATAATAAAATATTAATATTTATAATAATAAATATTAATACTATTTACTACTATAATTAATATAAGAGATTTAATTATAATAAAGAATATATAAAACTATTATTATATTATTATTATTTAGTATAATCTAGTTTATAATATATATATTCTTATAGTTAATATAATATAGGTCTATTAATAATAATTTTTTTAGATTATGAATAATAGAATAATAATTTCTTTAGATTATAAATAATAGAATAATAATTTCTTTAGATTATAAATAATAGAATAATAACTATTTATAAGAAGTTCACCTTCTAAGTATATTTTAATAAGGTATAAGATAGTATACTTAGAGAACCAGTTATAGATTCTTAATTAATAAAATAATAATTATAAATAATACTAGAAAAATTAGGAGAGATACTAATTACTTTAAATAAAGACTAGAGCATATAGAGAGATAGATCTAGAATAAGATTATACTTAATAGTCTTATTTAATATAATATAAGGCTATAGTTATTATATAAGAAGGAATAAGAATAAGTATTTATTACTTAAGGAATCTTAAAGAAAAGTAAGAAGTTAATATATATTCTACTTTAAAAAAAAATAATCACTAGTAGATAGAATAGATATTAATAACCTATAATAATTAATAAGCTAACTATTAAATAAATCTTTTTAGATAATTATATATTATATATTCTAAAATTAAAAAGCCTTAAATAAATAAAGTCTAGATAACTTATCTTAATCTTAAGAGTAGTAATAATTATAGGTATACTATAATATAGTAGCTAATTATATCTAGTAAAAAAGAGGTCTATTATACTAATTAATTAGAAAGCCAAGGGCTAATAAATCTAATATAGATTAAATAGGATTATAGGGGAAAACTAAAGGAGACTTTAAGTTACTATTATTATAAGTATCTAGTTCTCCTAAGTAGAGCTAAGGATAATATTAATAAATATTATATAATTAATCTATTAGAATAAAATTAATATAATCTTAAGCTCTAAGGGCATTAAGTAAAAGTAACTAGTATAAATACTCCTTATTAAAGAGATATTATAAGAGATTTAAAGTTAAAGTATTATCTACCTAGTATTTAAATTACCTATATATTAATATTAGTAAGTATAGATTATAATAAAGTTAATTATATTAAAGTAATACTTATACTTTATCTTTATACTTAAAATATTACTATTTATTACTATACTATACTTTATAGTAAATATAGGGAGATATAGGCTAATATAAATATTTAGTAATAAAATTACTTTTATAAAGTTATTTTAAGGGAGTTTATTTATATAGAAGAGATCAGCTAGGATAGAGAAATATATTAGTTTCTATAATAATTAATAAAAGAAGTAGAAAGATATACTTTATAGATAAGTAGTTAGCTAATCTATATCTAAGAATACCCTAATAAGATAAAGATATTAAAAGATTTTTTAGCTTTAAAGAGTTAAGGAATAAAGGTCTTCTTTACTCCTATATAAATTAGTAGAAATAATTTTAATATAGGCAGTAAATTTAGTAAAGGCATAAATAATAAGCTACTATAGATATATAAAAGAGTGAGATATATAATCCTATAGGAATTTAAGTATAGTATATATATTCTAGAGGAATAAGGATCTAAACTAAGAAGATTTAGTATAATAATAAAGAATAAGGGGTATAAGTATTAATATATAAGTATTCTTAGATAATAACTATAAAGAGAGATATATAATTAGGTTCTAAAGATATAGCCATTTTTTTAAAGTATTAAAGCTTTTTAATATAAAAATATAGTAAAATTACTTATTACTATTTAGTATAGCTTTTAGAAGAAGAATATAAAGATAATATCTAAGGCTTTTTTACTTAGAGTAAAGGATATTATAGGTCTAACTAAGGATAATATTAAGATATAGTATAAATCTTTTAAGAGAAGAAGGTTTAGGTTTTAAGCTATATTTTCTCTAGAATAAAGATTATATAGAGTAGTCTAGAAGTGACTTTCCTTATATTTACTTAAGAGTAGTATTAAAGTAATATTAACTATACTCTATAATATTATAGTTAAGATTTATTTATTTAGGCTTTAGATAGTAGCATCCTCTATAATTAATATTAACTTAATAATTTAATAAACCACTATTTAATATCTACTATAGTATATCCCCTATAAAAGCTATAATAAAAGTATTTATAAGAGTCTCTATGCTATTAATATTTATCTTAATTCTATAGCTTAACTATAAAAAGACATCTTTAAAAGATGTAGTAATATTATTAATAGAAGTCCTATATAAATTAAGAGTAAGGATATAATTATATAAGACATAGCGGCACTTATAATAAGAGAGATTTATTAAAATAATATAAAAAGCCTTTAATAATTTAAAGATATTTTAGTAAATACTAAACTTATTAATAAAAAGAAAAAAAGATAAAGAGTAAGTAAAGATAAATTTTTAAAATAGGGAGAGAAGGTATTTTTACCTAAAATGCTAAAGCTCTAGTTTAATATATAGAGTATAAAGATAGAGTATCTTTTAGAGAGATTAACACTACTAGTTAAAGATATATTAAATTATAATAAGGCCTAGTTATAATAAAGACTTATAATTAATAGCTATATTAACTTATTTTATAATATATTATAATATGATCTCCAGACACCTATTATTAATAAGGATATAATTATTATAAAAAAGTATATAATAGATTAAATAAGAAAGAGTAAGGATAGAAATAATAGGCTAGATTATTACTATAATTTTATCTTTTATAGCTAAGTACTCTTATTTATTAAAGCTAATAAAGATAATCTAACTAAACTAGAATAATATATTAGGGGCCACCTAGAATATACTATTATACTATATAAAATCATTAGAAAATATAATATTATTATTAATAGTATATATATATTCTCTAGAATAGGCATAAATAGATAAGCCCTATACCTAGGAGTACTATAGTTTAACTAGATTATCTATATAGTGGGCTATTCTAAAGAACATTCTATTATCTACTAATAATAATAATAAGAGATTATAGATAAGGTTATTTAGATTAAACTAGAAAACTAGTGTTAAGATAAGATCTACTACACATAAATTAAAGTATATAGATTATTAAGTAGATTTAATCTAGATATCTTATTTATAAAATTTCTATAAAGGTAGGACTTTATAGATATATAATTTAAGAGTATTAACCTTTTATAGTAATTACTTAACCTCTAGGTGCTATAGAAGATCTAGTATCTTAAGAAGACTAAAATACTTACTTTAACTTATATTAAATTAAAGAACCTATAGCATAAATATAAGATAAAAATCACTATATATATCTATACTTAATATTAGTGGTTATATAGAGTGTCTTATAAATAGGTAATATAGTGGACCTAAGGGCATACAGTATTTATTAGCTATATAATAGTAGACTCTAAAAAAGGCTTTTAAATCTATATACTCTAATATCTAATAGCCTTTTATAGGGCACCTATAGACATACCTAATATAATATAAATAATAGAAGGGGGTATATATATTAGGATCTCTATATCACTAGAATTAATTCAGCTTAAAGAGGGTGTATCTAGTAAAATTCCTAATGGCTAAATAGTATAAATATTATTATAAAAAGAATATTATATTACTATAGAAGATTAAGAGGGTTTTAAATTAGAGGAAGGTCTATATATTATAGGTTTTAATAAGATAAACTACTTTAATAGTGATTAAAGGGGGGGGTATTAAGAAATAGATTTTATTAAAAGTTAGGCAGATTAGAGTAGTTTTAAGATATTATAGACACTATATTTAAATATAAAAATTTAAGTAATATTATTATATTATCCTATCACTATTCTAGTAGAAGACATATATAGAGGGTGATTATAATATATTATATTATATAATATAATATATCTATAGACTACTCACAGTATAGTTAATACTCTATAGTATATATTATACTTTATATAATAGAAAAAAGTATATATTCTTAGTTTAGGTTATAATAGAGTCTATTGTTTATATACTAAAGGATACTATTAGTTCTTAAATATAGTTCTTAAATATAAAAAAGCAGCTAGGAAAGTATATACCTAAGATATCACTTCATAATATATATATAATCTCTTAAGTCTAGATAATATCTTAAGTTTATATATAGAGATATAGAAATAGACTAATATTTATAGTTTATATAAGAAACCTATCTATATATTATTAATCTATTATTATTAAATTATAATTATATCTATATAATTCTCTCGTGACAATGGGCTGCAAGATATATATATAAAATAGTATTAGTTTAATTAAATAATAAAGCATATAAATTAAAAATTTTATATGTCATGATAAATAGTCTAGTAGTTTATAATCTTTTTTTTTTAGTAGATAGATAACTTATACAGCTCCTATTTAAACCTAGCCTAATACTCCTTATTACACCTTTTTTCTTTTATTATTATTTATTATTAAGAACTACTAGATAAAAGCTATATAGTTATAACTAATTTTTAATTAATTAAATAAGGCACATATTATTTATAAA